ATCAATATTAAAAAATCTTAGCTGTGTTTAATTATCATTATATTAAAATTAAGTCATTATGTTATCATTATTATTAGAAGTTTTATCTCTTGTACAATTTATTATATATATAATACGATGCGATATATACTGACAGAATCCATACACAATACATCTGCAAAATTCAAGATAATACATGCATATATATCAATGTACTTTCAATTCCGGTAATTATGAACAGAGAAGAGACGGATATATATAATTTAAATGAATTCATTCACTTCGCCGATATCGTACGCGGCGCCATATTTCGCGAGAAGCTTTTTCAGAAAAGTGCATTCGATAGTCTCCTACATAATTCATTAATCCGCCAAACGTTCCGCACTTCGCTAATTAAATTATATTTATCGATTGATGTACGAAATTCCAAAAATGGAATTAATATTGAATAATATTGAATGAGCAAACTAGAAATATTAATTCTTTATACAATGTAATTTTTTAATGATACCGATAGATCTTTTCTATTCGTATTTTTATGTGTAAGTATCTGTCATCTCTTCATCAATGAAAAATTGCACGGAAATGATATATATACGTCATAAATATAGTCGCGCAATTCACACGATATCCTTTTACACGACAAACTATATGACATATTACTTCAGTACATCGGTACAGCATCTTAATCGAAAATTTTCTAACCCCCATCCTGCTGTCTTCCGGAAAGGACAGGCTCCTCACGTGACGCTGCATCGCATCCGTCATCCGCATTTCCATCGCATTTGTGACAGCACAAAGAATCGCGGGAATTCTGCAAGAAAAGAGGACAAATAATTTTTTGCAAAATCAAGTGTAAGAAAAAAGCTACGGCCACAAAGAAAGAAAAACGGATAATCGTGAAAGATAGCGCGACCTCTTTTCGCGCGGTGGATTCTTTGAATTCTTTGTCTTAGAATTTTTCACGATGATCGAATACATCTCGTACGTCAAAATAGAAAAAAATAAAAAAATAGTAAAAAATACTTTTTTATATCAAGTTTCTCGCTAGAACCTTAATTTCACTGACAGATCTTGATTGATGACTCTTCGGTGTCGCTATCATCTCCTCGGCAAAGAAGATCATCATTTTCAATTCTCCATGTCTAAATCTTTGGACTTACATCCCGTTGCTTCTTCAAGATATATCACTAAATTTAAGTAGCGTCAAGAAACATATACATATTGAAAATATAGCAATCAGAAGGCATCATCATTTTATTATCATAAATGAATAGAACACACAAAAACAAGAAAGAAGGTGGAAAGGACTATCGGCGATGTGATATTTTTTTCAATCTTCTCCTTTTCCTCGAAGTTTTTTTCGACCGATGGACGTGCATGTCGACGGACGAGCCGCAGATAGATTTCATACACGAGCGAGCAGAATCGAGGGCCGTCGCCTCGTCGATGAAAGAGACGACGGGGATCGAGAACATTCGGGGGATGCGCGCCCTCGGCTTGATTGTGGCTCCCAATCCCGGTACGAATCTCGGAGAGAGAAATTGCATTTCCTACTCGCGCGTATAAATGACGAGCCCCCCGCGTCATTTCGTTTAAACAAACCGCGACCATACGGAGTTCTGTCTTTCATCAACCACGCGGACCCTTTGCGCGAAAGCTTCCGTTTTGCAATACCTTAGTTCGCCGTCCTAGATGTGTGTATTTCTGTTTGTATATGATGGACGCTTTGATTATGGTCCGGTAAATAATCCCGGTGCACACTATTTTCGAGGCTACTCGAAAGCTACAGTTCGAAACGAGAAAGCGAACGAACCGCGCCGAACGAGGCCCGACTTGAAGTCTTTAATCCTTTTTGGTATAATTTATCTTCACGATGCTCCCTCCTTTTTGGTCCTTCAAACTTAATTACTATGCTCGGGTAGTAATGAGATAATATCAAAGAAGATGGTCTTCCTTTTTCTCTTGCGAATGAAGAAGAAGAAGTATTAATTATTTTCCGCGAGCGTAAAATAACGAAAACTCATGAGACATTGTGTGAATAATGCAATAATATATATCGGCCAATTCTTAGAATAATTAAAATAATATCGTATACAGATTCACTTCTCAAAAGTAGCTTCAACTTATATATATTAAAATAAAATACAAATTATTGTAATAGAAATGTAATATAGACTTTAATAGACTTTTATACAAATTATTATTCGGTATCAATAAATTTATATCTTACATGATTCCGCCGGCGATCGAAGTCGTCGAAACGACCATTATCAGGAATAAAAATGCTGATTTTACTTCAATTGAAAATTCCAGGTTAAAATTATATTTTCCACAGCAATCGCAGAATTAGTGAGTATAAAAAAAGATTCCAGATTCACGTCCAGATATTCTCAATCTTCTACAAAATACATTTAATTTTATAAAGACAGTAAAATTTAAAAAATTTTGTTAAAAAATGTGTTTTAAAAATCTTCGTCCTTTAAAATCTAATTTTAAATTTTTTTAAAATTTTTTTTTAGAAGAATCTTTTTTCTTAAATTTCATTGACATACCTTGTATTATTCTGGAAGATAGCGTTTATATTTTATCCAATTACTGATTCTTCGTCACTGTAATCACGTTTATAATAAAAAAAATCGTAGAGAGAGAACACAGCACACGTGTTAACGCTTCGACGTGCGAATCGCGAAAGCGACTTGACACCATACATAGTCATACACAGTTTATCGTTTGTTATATCACCTCCAAGTCAGTAACGTACGTCACAGAGTTATTGATTAGCTCTCACACATTATATGTTACATCAGTTTTTTTTTTTTTTTTTTTTTTTTTTTTTTATATGTTTTTCCTTTTGTTTCTGATTTGAGCTATGTGTAATCGAATCACTTTACGCACAATCTTGTGAACGTGATGTACTCATTAATAATTATTACCTTTAATCTCGCCAATGTAGCCGCCGATGTTGTTTCAGATACACTAGAGGAGAAGGAGAGGAAGATCTTGCTCTAGATTCCCCCGATCCATGGGGACAGATCAAAAGATATGTGAGATTCTCACTCACTAAAAACCTCTATGACCCCGGTGACTATTCCTTCGACGCATAATGAACGTCCCGGGAATTTGACATTTGCACAACATCTGGGATGCTCCCGCGCCTTCTTTTCTATCCCGCCGGGGCCCGCCACTATGATAAGATAATAATGATGATGGTAGTGATAGGCCCCGGTTTCCTTTCGGAATCCTTCCTTTTTGTGGCAAGGAGAGGTCACCTCCCCGCCACATCCCGATATTAGTTCTAACATAATCAAACATAAAATAAATAAATAAAAAAAATTGAAAATGTGCCCGCACAAACACGATTTAACGCTTCCTAAAATCTTAAATGAGAGAAAATAAAGTTTAATTAAGACGTAGCATAATTAAACGCGCATAGCTAAGATATAGAGCAACCACTGGCGCTTTAATTAGCGAAGAATTTCGTCGAAAGTTTTTTTTCCTAGCTTTAAAGAAGGTTTCAAAAGAACGAAGCGAATAATCGCGTCGCTCAATATCGTTAAGCGCGCTATTTAATGCATCTTCGAACAGCGATATCAAAGATTCCGAAGTTTTTTTTCGCAAGCACGTTTTCTTTAGAAGCAAAACGGGGTCTTCGCTAAAAGGGTCTTTTTAAATCGAACAACTTTAAATAACGATTGCAGTAGCTTTGCCGAGCGTCAAAGAAACGTGAATCTCTCAACATGATTGAGCAAGGAAAAAAAAAAGAGATATGTGAGCTCGTAAAAAAGCATTTCAACGTTTACATCCAAAATGCAGAAAATATATATAATTAGTTTCTACCTTTATAAACGATATAATCCCGAAAAGATCATCTCAAAGTATAGCAAAATATTTAGAAAATATATTAATTATTTCTTTACAATCAAATTTAGCGAAATATTCAGAATATATACTAAGATATATATCAATATATATAATATATAAATTACTTATTTAAATCTTTTTTCTTCAATCTTATTTAAATTAAAATATATTTTTTTTATATTCACTATAAAAAAATTACGAATACAGCAATTCATATGATGTTTTAGATCGTTTTCAATTAATTCTTGCTAGAACAGTCTCTTGCGTAAAAAAAAAATCAAAGTTTTCATTAAAAACCCTTACTCGCAAGTTTGCAATCTTATCGCGCAATTCTCAGAAAGTCGTTTAAGTACAGAGCCGACGACGCGAGAATGCTAAGTCACGTGAAAATTAATGTCGCAGCGTCATTAGTCTGTCGAAAAAAGGGCGATCTCGCGACAAGAACAAAACCTCGCCGACTCCATTGTTCGACCCCAATTCCCTGAGGTCGATCCATCGGCAAGAGGATAAAATCGTATCCTTTGCCGCGTCCGAGGATCCGGCCATACGTACTACGTGTACCCGGTTAAGGGCTGACAAAGCTAATTTAACAAAGCGCGCATCTGGGACTGAAGAACGTGTTAAAGAGGTCCGACGAGGACGATGAGAAGAGCGCGAGTATTTACGAGAAATATGAACTCGGCACCGGAAGCGGAAATCGAATTCTAAAGAGAATTCGTTGGGCCGAATCACTCGGCCAAGCCGGTGGATCGCTCCTCGAGGATACTCCTCGAGGATGACCCTCTTCTTCTTCCACGTACAATTCTCGAGAACTTGAAGAAAAACCGTACGGCACGTAGGAGGATGCTGAAGACTGGTTAAAGGTGAAAAGAATCGAAGTGACTAAACCCTGACGTGACTTTTTCAGAAGATTCGTGAGAAAAGAGAAGGGCGTTCCCGAACGATGTAAGCCCGGACAGACAATATTGCGCGGCTCAGTGATCCTCAACCGACTTGAGCTTTCAATTTGTTTTGTAAAACGAAAAAAATCACAAGGAAATCTTAAAAAAACTAGAGCGCACTGTTAATTTATAACTCGTCAGAGAATTAATGACAGGATACTTCTGTATATATATGAGAACGCGTTTATATTAATTTGCTGAATTTAATTATAAAATTGAAGATAGATTATAAAGTGGCACTTGTTATGCAAGTTAGTTTTATATAGTGAGTCTTCGGATGTCAAATTGATTTTCCTGAGGGGAAAAAATGGGCAGTTTTGAAGGAAAGTTCGCGGTCATTTCCAGAGGTGTTGGCGAGTTTTGAATTGAAATTAAAGTTTCATGGCCCTTTTGATCAAAGAAGCGAACTTTCGATTAATAACGCTGACCCAGCATTGTCGCAACTTCCGCTTAAAGCTATTGGAAATGAATAGTTATCGAATTTTTTTTTCTTCCACCGGCGTAATAAATGTCGCGCCGATTCCAGAAACTAATTCCACACATTCCAATCCGGAGTGGAAGAGACAAATACCCTTTCCGGCATTAATTAACGCAAAGTTATCGATTCCGCGTGTCAATTTGGAGGATATCCAGATTTTTCACACTCTGTCCGATATTCTGATATCTTATATAGAATATCATGTGTCATACTGTCGCGTCAACGCTAAATGGCAGCGGCTCTGGTTAATTTTGAATCAATTTTGTCTCATTAAAAGTGTCAGACATCCGTTACATACGATAAGTTAATGTATAAAATTTTGAAAAAGAAAAAATGTAAATATAATACTACAATATATATATATATATATATTTTATCTCATAAAATATATATTTTAAGGGTCTCTCTAATATGATTATTTCTTCTAACAAATTTTTAAAAAATATTCTTTTTTACATTTATTCATAGAAAATGAATATTTATACTTAACACTTTTATAATAATCAGTGAAAAAAAAACTGCATAAAATTTATTTTTTTTTGTAAATATGCCACCTTTATGGGACCTTTCAAGCGGAAATTGGAAATAGATTCTGAAATACGTAACCGCGACGGGGAAGGTCGAAATGACATTGCTCGGCGAACGAGAAACTCGAGGAGCCGTTTCTTCCCTCTACACACAGGTGCAGGGCAATCTACGGTTGAAGGTAGATGATGCTGCGAAATAATCGAAAAGCGAGTATTGAAAATATGAAAGAAGATTACAATCGGAATAGAAAATTGAAAATTTGCGACAAAAAGTATGCGATAGACTTTTGACACGTAAAGATAAAAAATATGTATCTTGTAGCTCAAAATTATCGCGCGTATATACATCGTTATCGTCAGTTTACTCTCAAATTCCGTTTACGTAACGATAAAACTAACATCGCCGACAAGTATCAATTAAGTTGATGGCGCCTGATCATCGAGTCTGTTTTCATTACCGTCACGTTAATCATGCCTCTGTGCAATTTCATTATGAGAATCTCTCACGGGCTCTGATAAGAGGGCGAACAACACTTTTCCTTGGAAAACGGTAGGACGAATCTTCATCGGTGGTAATCTCATCATTTAACCCGATTAACCCCCCGGTCGTCTATCTTGACCGGTCGAGACACAAGCGACGGAATCCTCGGGCACCCTAGACATCACGAAAAATCGTCCGTCACAATCGATCGTTCGGTTATCGGGCCTTTGAATTCGAGTTGTCAACAGAGATCGCGAATAACAATAGTCGACGCGCCGGGATTCTCAAGAATAGTCGCAAAAGATATCGAATCGTTCTGGGTGAAAAGAAACGAAGAGAGAATCGCTCCTATAATAGATAATAGAACCGGAAAAATCCGGCAATATCGTACATCGAGAACAAGTTAATTTCTTCGAGAAGCAGAGATCCAATAAAAATTAGGCTCAAGTTTTTCTTTGCTGCTCTTGTAAATGGAATCAGTGTATTATCACTGATAAGCGGTGGTTTCAGTTATAAGCCTTGCAGATAAAAAAATTTTATTGAAAGGAATCAGTTAGTAATAATGGATTTTTTTCAGTGAAATCTTGCTGCCATAGTTAGTGCAACAAAGTATGAGTGTTTTCATTGAAGATCAATGAAATACTCATTAATCTTCTCGATGAGATCTTGTCACCGTTTTATAATCTGTGACATTTTCACTGATTGAGTTCAAAAGGATGCGCAGTAACGGCGTTTACCGATTTTTGTGTTTTTTTTTCGTCCCGAAAGAGTATCGCAAAGATCTATCTGCATCTGTATCAAAGTTGCATTCAATGCGTCGCCATGCGTCAATGTTCGCGCCGTGTAGTTTCCGCAAATAGAATAGTCTGTGCCGATAGCAACTCGGGATTCCAAACGTCGGGGAGCTATAAACAAAAATCAACGCGCAAGATGTACAACTACGAGCGAAATGCAAACGTGCAAAAATAAAACGCAAGAATTCTCAACGGTATATAGTACCAGGATATTATTCCAACATTCATTTCTTCAGGGATGTTCCATATATTGCGTTTTTTTCCCCTTGAAGAAGATTCGGATATGAAATGGAAGTAAAAATCGCTTTTTCGTTCAACATACGAGCGGAAAAATGAGATAAATGTAATTAAAATGAATCCTCTGGCTAAAAAGAAAAAAAAGAAGTTTTTGAATGTCTAACAGCAGCGGTGACGTTTGAAATGGGAACATTCCGCTTTTCCGGCAAAGCCGGAAAACGAATGCCGACGAATCCCGACTTCCTTCCCGTCTTTTCCGAGACGCGGCAATTTCCTCGGATAATAATCTCATCCACCTGGCCCACCTTCGGAAATTATTCGATCTCGTCGGTTGCTTGCTGCCTGGCGGAATAAATGCTTACCATACACTTTTGCACAAACCTCTCCCCCCCCCTCTCTCTCTCTTTCTCTCTCTCTCTATCTATCTCACCCCTCATACTCCCCTGTGATTCGAAACGTTTCGCCTACCGAAAGCCGATGGGGCGCGGCACGGGTAGTTCGTGGAATGCCCTCGTACGTGGCTGGCAAGGTAGATGGTCGACGTTAACTCGCGGTGCACGAAATCGGGTTAATCGATTTCCGGGTAACATGCACGTACGAGACACATGTGCACCACGTAAGCGCCCCTATAGGCGTGACAGGGCAGGGATGAGGGGGTGCGTTTGAACATATCGGGACCGATTCGAACAATATCGCGTATCGCAACAAAAACGACGATCGTGAACAGTGGCCCAATTTGTCGTCCGTCCAAAAAGTAAAAATACTACGAAAAATCCATGTGTATATACTATCTAAAGAATTTATTGTCTTTTGTTCTTCTCTTCCACACACATCTATTATTATATTTATATATCTGGTTTTTTTCATAGCGGTTTTACTTTCTATCTGCTTTGATTTTTCTTTACAAGAAGGGTGATAAAAAGACGTAGAAAATAAAAACAAACGTTTAGAATTGTAAACCGCTTCAAAAATATTTGAGAAACATCAATCACATTTAAAAAACAAACTATAAAATAAGAGATTAAAGGTCCATATCTCCTTTGATATATGGTTTAATTGAACTGCATGGTATGACACATATAAACCTGTGGAAAGAAATAAAACCGCGTTTCGGAAATCGAGTTTAAAATAATGCCTGAAGAAGAAAAATAAACTAAAATTTTAAATATAAAATTATAAATACTGCAACGCGTTTGTAACGTAGGGTATCGTTACATTGTTACGTATAAAAGATGGCAATTATCGATTATGTAACTTTTTTTCATCCTTCGTTCTCAAGGCACCCCGTTCTTCACCCATTTCGGCGACGATTATCCCCTACGGCCGCATTAATTCTCGTCAAGTCATAAGTCGCTAGCCCCGGCTGCCGCAAGTAAGCTCATAATCGTTCCCGCTTCTCGTGCCGCTCAAAGCGAACGCCGAACTTCGGTCAAAGTGGAAGATGAACTCGTCTGACGTGGCCCGGGGCGATTCGAGGCCCGGGGGGTTAGGCAGAGGTTGGGCAAGAACGTGGAAAGCGGGAGATCCCGGACAGTATTTAATGCGGTTGCGCCCATTGCGCCCGTGGTCCGCTCTGGGGGGGTGAGAGGAAGGGGAGGGCGAGAACCGCGACTTTATGCGATGTAATTCCGATGCAAATCTGTCTGTTGAACTTTTCGTCCGTTATGTCGGGTCGCGCCGGTCCGCGGTCGTGCTCGAGGGTACTCCAGTACTTTGTACAGGATGTCCCGAGCATCGTGTACTTTCTCTTTTCTGTCTTCAAAATGTGAGCTTGGGGCGAGTCTTTTTTTAAAGTATAATTTTATCAAGATCTAGAATAACATCCCCTTATTAAATGTAAAATATATATCAGGAAATATAGTACAAGCAATAATCTCACGAAAAGAAAATATAAAAAGAAAAGAGAAAATTATACCAAAATATTGATAAATATTTATGACGAAAAAATAACGCTGAAACAAGATAACATGCAGATAAACTTAAACATGCTGTATTGCAATTAATTAATTTAGAAAAAGAAAACAGATATTATATAATTCAGATTTAAACGACGATACAAGGTTCACGGTTAAACCATGTATTTATTATGTTCTTCTTGTAAAGCAATCATGAATAAAAAATAAATCCTTGATTGCTACGTAAAAATTGCACGACTGTTGTTTCCATCAAACACGGTCGTTTATTTTAGAATAAAACGGAAGAAACATTCATTCTTCACTTTATGACTCGTTAAATTCATTGATTTTATACCTCGACTCTATCCATAAGACATCAATTTCTATAATAATGTAACATGCCAAGGTACACGTCGTCAAATGTCGTACAATATTTCGCGGCATCCACCCTTTCCTCGGGATACTTGAACTGTGCGACGTTACTGAGCCGAAATGGGTCGCGTTTAACGAGGGCGAAGACACGGGCGCGTGTAACGCGACGCAGATACGCGCCGTTCAGTCATTCACCCCCTCGAGAATTCCGCGACCACCCCGCATAAACCCATTCGGTCTGGGGTGCGCGTGGGTGCGACTCTGGGAAGGTCGTCGTTTAAATTACATGGGCGGGGCTGAAGGTCCCGGATACCGACCAGGAACTGCCATCTGCACACCACAGGGCGAACAACCCTCTGAACTAGCATTCGCCCTCCACGATCCGAGGATGGAATTTCGTCCACGGATTTGCACTCTCACCCATGTCATCTGCCTTTCACGATGTTATTCGCTTTATTTATTTTTTACTTCATTTTTTTTTTTTTTATTTATACCTTTTATATATTTCTTATATTGCTTATTTTTTTATTATTTTATATATATTTTATATCTTTTTTTTAACTGATTAAATGTATCTTAATTATTGATATTAAAATTATATTAACATTTATGAGAGAAAGATTCTGAGCCTTCGGAAAAAAATTCCTCCGGAAAAAGAAGACTAGATTGGAGTTACATTTTTCTGTCTTTTCCCATTTTCAATAAAATTTTCGCTTATACCACAAGATGTACCAGATGTACCATATTCTCGCGTACATTCGCGTGCTCTTTCAAGTATAAAATTTCAATATGAGATAACACTTGTGTTTCTATATATTTCATAAAAATCGCAGTGAATATCTACGCAGAATAGCGTTACGCTATAGTCGCAGCATCGTCCGAATCGCTCCATGGCAAGATAAGATTCCGCTTTGGAATTTCTCGCAATGTCTACCTGCCGCGATCCCTTGTTACGTGCACGACGACATTGGTATCCGCAGTCACCCGAACCACCATCGTCCCCGAGCACACACGAGTAAGCTGCGCATCTCGCATTCCGCAGCTCTGCAGAAAATTGCGGCGGAAATCTCCGGCGTTGTTCCATGTACCGCAGGCGCATCATAAAATTTTCCTCGCGCAATTCCTCCGTAAATCTCGCATCCTTTATTTCAATGAGCGCACGATATTGCCCGAGAGCGGAAGCGATTCGCACGCGCGCGGAGCGAATTTTTTCGCGTAGAAAAAGGAAGAAACAAAGAGATATTACTAATAATTCACTTTTTGTCGAGCAACACCTGCGAAATAGATTTTTCTTTGGCGGTACATAAAGCTTGAAAGAAAGAGCAATACTTTATATCTGCTAATAATTGTAAAAATAATATCTGTTTAGTTCTATAAAATATATATAAAATGAAAAGTTAATAAAATATATATGATATATTATTTATATAGAGAGAGAAAACTTCTCGTGAAAGAGAGAAAGTAAGCGGTTTTAACTCTAGGAATATACAACTTTTTTTTTTATAGCTATCTTTTTCCAGTATGTTTGAAAAAAAAAAACGAACATTGATTCGGTAACTGTGCACGAATTATAAAAATACAAAAGCTAAAGGGATAAAATAAAAAAAAGAATCCGCACGGATACGCAAGACCGAAGTGCAGCTTGAAGGCTGACTTCCTCGAAAAACCGTGCCGCCCTACGCATACACAATGCAGGTAAATGTGTTTCGTGACCCAAAAATGATTGCCACCCTACGACCGACCGCCACCCCGAGTATTCGGCTTGCAAGATGCAGCGGAGACCGCTAAATTCATGGTACGCTAATCAATAATGTATTTGGTGTGCGAAACACTTCGTAGATATTCCAGCTGGGGGACATAGTGAAAGGTGATTCCTGGGCATTGTTCCGTGGCATCCAAGCCACAGAAGTCTGGTGGTATATCGGGGGGAAGGGACCGGGGATGAAGGGGTTGCTCTATACGTAAAGTCGCGCGGAATAATTACAAGTTCGCCATTGAATCAGGAATGTACCAAACAAGGCAGAAACAGACACCCTGCAATTCCATTATTAATTCAATTAGTGCTAGATGCATACTGATCGTAGGATTAATGCATCCCGCGGACCATAATCTCATTCCGCTATCTGAACGATTGGAACCGGCCGATATCGCTCGCTACACACCGGGTAGATCTCAAATTCGTACTCTCGAATTAATGTAGATTTTTCGCTAAATAAATATTAAAATAATAATTTCCTTGAGTAATACTGGAATAAGAAATAAAAATAAATTTTTTCAACTATTAATTTTTGTTGTTGAAAATGAATAACAAAATATTACTTTCTATATAATTACAAGTTAATTTTATCTTAACGTAATTTTAATTCGAAATTTAATTATCATTTAAAAATACTTAATGTTGGAATTTAGAAAAAAGCTCCGATAAAAGAGAGACAGAGACGAGATTAATCGAAGAATCCGCACGTAAAAAAAGATGCGCAGGTTGGTCTGAAACACTGTGAATAAATCCGTTTATTCATTCAGTCTGATTTGGATTTGGATTTTGCTAAAGTGATTCTGAAATGCGATCTTGTTACACGACGTGGAAGAGCAATTATATTTGAATAACTAGATTTTGTAATCAAAATATTTGCGAAAAGCGCATATATGTAACTACATTCGACAATCTGTATCAAATATATTATATATAAACACAATCTGTCTTATCACTCACAATTTAAATAATTACATTTGCGAATAAAAAAACTGTATATATTACAAAAAAAAAGCGGAAAAAAATTATATATATATATTGCGAAGAATATTGAAAGAAAATGATAAGATTCTTTGGTTGTGCAATGTTAAGTATAATTTGCAAGTTGTTAATTTACTATTTACCGATATATATTAGCATCGTCAAATGCTCATAACAAAGCGGAAATTATAATTGTATTTCAGCAACGATTGCAATTATTAACTTTATGCAAATTACCGGACTATTTTTTCCTCGCATATCCCTGCAATGTGTACAAACCGCTAATTCGCCACTCGGTGAAAGCCTTGCGTGAGCCTCGTGCGACGTGTATGTACGCTAAAGAGATGAGGAAGTGAGTATTCGATACCGAAATTTACGTAACTAGCGCTGCAAATTTCTTTTTTTTTTTTTTAAGTGTGATTTTGCTAATTGTTAAAAAATACATGGTAATGCGCACAACAAAAAGAAGCGCGAAATATTTACTGACACGATATGCGTGATTTGTCACGGGAAATAAACTTGTTTTGTTTCATTCGCGTGGCAGCGAAAATTCCTGAAATCGCAATGCACGGGATGAGCGAATATTTACATTTGAACTAAAACCAATGAAGCGATCGGCAAAATCAAAACAATTCGTGAAATAAAGAAATGGACAAACAGATGCGGCGCGTATACCTTTTTTTTTTGTTTTTTACCGAGATATCGATCGTTCCACGAATCCCACATACAAATGCCGAATGAACAATATCCGAAGTATTGCAGGGGCACTATCTCGATAAAATCCTAAAAATATTCCGGTATTTAAACATTCAACTATTTATTTTACACAATTTGCTATTTACTTTACAAAACGAATTTAAGTATCACTGTTGCACGCAGCTTTCTCTCTCGAATTCCATTTTACGGATATCGTTGTTACTAAAAATTGTATGAATAACAATGTGCATATAATTGAAATAAAGCGGCACATTGCTTATTAAAAATTGAAACAATTTTACTTCAATATATTTTAATAAATAAATCAATAATTGTGAGAAAAACAATCCTTAATTATTGTAAAATTTATATAATTAATAATCTTAAACAGTTGGTTATTAAGCAAGTCTACTTTCGAAATATCATATAAAATAAATAGTACGAGATAATTGTTGATCAATTCGATGAATAAATAATATATGTATCATGAAACTTGTTGCGTTTTCCCGAAATATTTCAGAGATCGAATTACGGCGTTGGCTCTTTTGATGTGGTGCTTCATGAAATCAGCACGTGTATCGGGAGTAAAAAATATTACACATGGTATATCGAGGCATGTACGATCTATCGGATTTCCCGAGGGTAGCAATATGGGGGTATGATGAAATCAATCATTCATTTTTCATCTACTAATGCGTCTCGGACTATGTGAGCGGCCTGTTAACTCAATATTAATAATTTTCACTTCACGTATACTCGCGCAAAGTAAGATTTATCTGAAAAAAGTCGAGAAATCTCACAGCATAAACGCTTAATATTCTTATAATGAAAATTCAGTCTTATCCTATCGTATTTTGAAAGAGGCATCATTTATCTCTATCATAAAAATTATTACGACAGAAAATCGTAAATTGTAATTTACTTTTATCAACATTTCCTCAGAATTTGTAAATGCTTTTTTCACACTTTATAAAATATTTTGACATTCTGTGAAAAACTTCCCCGCTCGCGTTGAGGACTAAATCAATTAATCATTTTATATGAACGGACAATATCGTATGTAGAGAGCAATATTACTACATTTGTCAGCGCATATTTTCATTTGCAGATATTTTTCGCCTTGGGAATTCCCATAGATATTCCCGACTACTCTATATCGATGGCATTTTATTTCGAAGCGAATTACGGATTGCCGAACGAATGGAATTCAAGTTATTTTTATGAGGAAGGTTACTACGTAAAACGAAGTCTTAATCGCCAATTATTGTATAGGGTGCTCATAAATAAAATGGAAAGGTAACAAAATTGCTCACATGTATCAAATAATATCTTTTATAAAACATATCCTGTATCTCGGTTAAACTTTTCGCTTTCGTAAAATCTTGCCATGTACTCTTTCCGATAACAGGATTACTGCTCCTAGATAAAATATTTTGCAAGTAAAATTTAAAAAATATAATGTAATCTTATATGCTTTGCAGTCTGGGGTACTCTGGACTGGATTGTTTGCTGAGAATGATTTGCGAAGTTGCGAGATATTCTTTAAGCGAAAATGGGGTACTTGGTGATATCTTGCAAATCATACTCGCGTAAGTATAGAATACAAAAGAACTATACTCGATACTATCAAGCCGAAAAAATAAAGAGAAGAGTCAATAATTATTTTATTAGTCGGAAGAATGTGATGCAGGAGATCTAGAAAATTGGGTTCAAATCAATTAATACGATATATTTTTATTTTTCATCGAAATGTTCATTCGGCAGACATTTATATTTTATATTATCAGACATGTCTTAAACGATTAACATACGAATTCTAACATTTGTTTGCACATTTTTATTGCAGACCCTCCACATCAAGAAGCGAAAATCTTCCGAACGAGATTATAGAAGCCGAATACGAGCAGCATTGCGACCAGCGTTACGAAAAATGCTCTATGAATCCTTTAGATCTAGTAAGCCATTATGTCAGCATCAACTAATGAATGTAACTTCCTTCGTAATCAACATTTAATTGCTTATTGCGTTATACAAATATTTGCAAATATTAATAACACATTAATAACTCAGATAGCTCAAAGTTTATCAAAAAAGAATCCCGTAAAGTGCCTGTCGCAAGCTTCATCAGCTGAAAAAGACGACAATATTTGCGCAAAAGATGATATCAACAAAAATCTAGCAAACTATTAATTCAATACAACGATAGACACATATTGCAGTTTTGCAACACAGCATAGCAATCGGATCAATAACAGAAATAGCAGAAATTGAAAACATTTTAATTTATTTCTCGCGTGTAACTACTTTTTCTTGATTTTCTTTCACCTATTTATACATATTTAAGAAATCTTTAAATGCAAAGTTTACTATGAGATTGTTCCTCATAATATAATAAATTTTTCTACCGTCAAAAATATACATTATAAACAAAATTTTTTTTTCTTTATTTCTTTTCACCTTTAATCTACTATCCCGAAAGAGCTCGTGAAAATTAGAAATTCCACATTATATTTGTGTAAATTACAAGAGTATTTTGGATGTTTTCTATAAAAATGCTACTGTACTAATCAACGAATCTTTTTTTCTTTGATTATAAATACAATTAGATTAAAAAAAAAAACATAATATATATCATAAACTACTATATATCTTTTTCACGAAGCTCTTGTGAATATAAGTTAAATTACAAACATGAAAAAAATGCGATCAATGCATTTGAAAATATTCTCCAATATCGATGCATTTTAAGCATACTTTCGAAAACTATATACGTTTCAATTAGTCAAATTTTCTTTTATCCGATAAAGTTACGCAAATAGCGCTATGACGTTAACAATCATTTAATCTATTAAAGCTTTTTCGCTAAGACATTTCTCCCTCTATAGAAAAATTATATGTTCAATCATTTAAAAACTCGAGATAAATGGAAAAGCCAAACATTCTAACAGCCTGCAAATAACATTTATAATAATATATGACAGTTACATATAAACAAATATTAATATATATAAAAATATATATTAATTATATATAAAAATATTTGCAATTTTTTAAAAATTAAAATAACTAGCTTTTCTTATAAGATTTCTGACGTTTATAGCTTTTTCATGCCATTTTTAATTTTTGCAGTATATTAAGAGATTTAAATTTTTGCATTTTGCAAAATTATGTTTTAAAATTTTTTCTTTAAAATAGTTATTTTATTATGACTGCTATAAAGCACATTTTTCGGTGCATATCGGAACATATCACCGGGAACATGAAGAAAATTGGACTCCAAACCAGACTTTCACTCGACTTCATCAAGGCTCCAAAAAGAATCTCCCTTTTACTCCTTACTCCTTCAGTTTGTTAACCGCAGAGACAGGCATAGCGATTGTTCCTTCCACGGCAGCGCGCCCCGATTGCAGATAATGAAACATATTTTCGTAGACCACGAATGTGATAACCGTCGCCGGTGTCACCCTGGTGAGGTTTACGCTTAAACCCTTGTAAAAGCCACGCCAACTCTCATACCTGCAACGAACCACCAGCAATACGTCTTTGTTTTACTTGCTTTACAACAAAAGACTAAAGATGCGAAGCATCGTAAAAGCGTTTTTAATTTAACCCGCGTACGATTCTTGACGCTACGTGGAATCTACTATGAAAATTCAAAGTCACACAAGAAGCCGGAAAGAGCTAATATTCTTCTTCTACGGCTCCAATAATTCTGCGAAAGATTAAATTAGAAAGAAAGCAATATGTGTTTTTCTAACACATCTCAAATGTAGGATTTCTCTTAAACAAGCCGAATAATAGCGCACAAATTTAAAGAAATAACAAATGTTTTCTATTTTTATTTCATTTTTTAGTTAAAACACAATAAATTTATATAAATTATGATAAATACTCAATAATTCAATAATTATCATATAATACGTCCAAAAATCGTACTGCTGGTGGCTTAACAAACTACCGAACAAATAATGTAATATAACGCATTCAGTCACAATACCTTTCTACATGCTATCCTCCTGTAAATGACGATAAAATAGCTTCAATGCAAAATAGGCTTAAGAAAATATAATTCATTAAATCATTATATGCTTAATGACATCTTTCGCTGCTAATAAGAATCTATGTCCATAGCATGAAATTGGGAGAATGAAGAAATCAAATCTAGGGAAATTCGGATAGCGTAATCTAAAGAATAGTCGGTAGCTAATTTAATGACAAACATTTTTCGATATGTGTGTGTGTGTTGTATTTATTAATATCGTCACAATGTTGCTTTTAAGTATGCACCTTTGCGTGTTTCGTTATTTTATTATTGAAGAAACAGATTCCAACTAGATTTATAAGGAATTAATATAAATAAATTCATCCTACTATTTACAGATTGCACGGAAACTTATTGCTATCGATCGTATTTTTCGAGTGCCAAATTCTATCGATCCCCGCAAAATTGATCTATCGCGGACTCTTATGTACTGAACTTAGAATAATATAAATAATTACAGAGAGCCGCTTACGTAAAAAAAAAATATATGTAAGACACAGAAATGGGAACTGCGAACTTTTACTACACTTACTAAAAAAGAAAAATTGTCTAAATTAAAAACCGCACTAGAACTTGTCGAGTCGTGCGGAGACATAAAACTCATCAGTTTACACATGTGGTTCGCACACATTATGCATAAAAAATAGTTCGAGCATTATACAGACATACATGTATTATTCATATAGTTACGTAAATATTTGGTTATTAATTTAACTACTCAAGATTATACACCCGTTTTTTGCGATGTAAATCGAGTGTATTTTTACAGCCCTTTGTGTAGAACGCATTAATTAGCTTATACTTCAGTAACCTTTCGCTACATTTCCTTCACTTATACGCGTAACCAAATCGTGTGCCTAATTAAATCTGATTTAGACGACATTTAGATGTCTTATGTGTCTTGGTAAACAAAGAATGAGCATACTCATACATTCGTTTGTCACGCAATCTAACCTTATATGATTAGAAGACACTTCAGTTGAAATATATTGCGCTGTTGTATAAGAAAACTTTCCTTACATAAAGTATTATACATCAGTCACAACGAATTTCGCGCGATAAATTTATAAAGCGAGAAATGAACTAACACCTTGTCGGTTCTATACTATCGTAGTCTCTCAATATTCTTGGATAAGGAACGATAAATAGTTGAATAAATAAAACGCATACATTTATGCAATACGCCACCAACTGTTTGCCATTTCACTATTGCCATTCCAAGATCCATATCTCGGTTTGTAGTAATTATTGAATTACAATTTATATGAGTATACAAGTTAAAACAATGATAGTAAAAGCAATGATTTAAACTGCTTCCCTATATCGAGTAATTTCCTTTTTCACTGTTCAACAAATCTAATATCGATTAACAGAGATACAAATAATAGAAAATATTATATACTTCCACTTCAAATACTAGAAAGAAAACTAATATATATTCATATGTCATCTAAAATCAAATAAAAATCGAATAAAAATTATTACTAATAATCGTCTCAGCTATCCTTCCAGCTTCTTTCATAAATACTTGAAATAAAAATAATTATCTAAAAACGACCCTCTTGAAACAAAAATTATTCTACATCATAATCGATCTGAATGATACGTTGTGTAACGCGTGATATTCAGCTATTTGAAATAATTGAGTACCATGGCCTCGCATAGTTGAAAAATCATATACACTTGTGAGCATCTTGCGTCATGAGTTTTGGTAAATCAGAGAAAATATTGCGTTCTATAGAAGATGTAAAAAAATTGACCTAAAAAATTTCCTTACATTTGCAACAATAAGATGTCAACACAATTAACTGCCATTAGTAAAATGCTCATAAATAAGAATAATTAGACATATGTTTGGTGTAACATGTAAAAGGTATGGTGATAAACCCTTATAGAAACCCTTAATCCCTTCTGACCTCCATGTGCATTGAATGCAATGCCAGGTACCCCGGTAGTCGTGATGATGATCCTGAAGTCGTGCCCTTACCACTTGATAAGGATACGTCGACGCTGCAGCGAGCAGTTTGGACATCGCGGCAAAGACGATATATTCGGTTGTACTCTGTATGGAATAATTGAGCATAGATATTGTTCATTTTTATTCTAAATTTATAAGCATCTATCAATTTAAAGTGTCATCTTTGTGAATTGATAATATTATGAATTGATAACGTCGCCATACTCCTCGTACAAAAAATATAGATAAGCAAAAGAAGGCAACAGCAATGTCGCAAATTAAGAATTAATATGACATGCAGCATTCTAAATGCATCTTATAACATCATAAAATGCTCAATAAAAATATAATCGACTCACCAATTTCGTATCGATGGGTACATCTAGGTAATTATAATACTTGTTCTTCATCTCCTCGTACACCATGAATTGTATCGCACCGTGCGAGACACCAAACAATCCAGGAACTAAACCCTGCAAAAGAATACAGCGATATAATAGCTTTCTCATAAATTGCAATAACTCATTTTATTTCGAATTAATTTTCGGTTTAATCAACAAAACATTTGCTTACTTTATATAAGCCTCTAATGCCTTCCGTTTTGTAAATCTTCTTTAAAGCATCTACCATCCCGCGATACTTCTTGGACTCCGCCACATTTACGTCCTCAGCATATTGTAAACACAGCCGCGTTTTCACCACCCAGATCGGATTCGTCATGAGCAAGGTAAGCACTCCAGCGTCAGCGGCAGCGAACATATGCATGGACGGACCAAGCGGTTTCTTCGAGTTACCACCTTGGATCGAAGTCTTTATCGTGTTATAGCTGCAAATTAAATCACGATGCATTCAAAATATGCATATAAGATCAACATTAAGAAAAAATAAACAACGCTAATCAATAAATGTATCAAAATTTTTGCCGTCTTGCAATTGCAATTCTGCATTAATTTATCATATGCGATTAAAAATCGCACATAATCGCTAAATTTTGAATCGATAATAATAGACTATATATATGTAATATACTTACAAGAAGAAGTAGAAACCCCACGAACTTCCTGATCCTAAAACATTTGGCGTTACTCCTCTATAAAGTCCGCGCACTCCCTCGGTTTTGACAATCTGAACCATGGCATTCCTAAGTCCGTTGTACCGCGGTCCTGCATTCGTTTGACCATCATTTACTACAAGAAAATAAAAAAACCTAAATAAATCCTATCACAACTTGGACGGTACTTCTATTCTCGTAAAAATTATCATAACATTACCGGCACCTATGAGACGTTTAACTTTTCATTGATACTATAATCTGTGCCGTAACTAATAGCGTTCACGACTACGATGTCTGCGTTCATCGTTTATCTCTGTTAATTAAACTATCGTCGTCAAATGCATCATCTCGCGATAAGCAACACTTAATTGTCATGCTTGAATGCGTTTCTTAATGTATATAGATATGGTCAACATATATATATATATATATATATATATATATGCGTATTGTCATATCAAATATCAATTCGCTTTATCTGTAGCATTAGTTTCATACTACGTCTCGCAATGCGAGAAAGCAGCGATATCGTTTTGCGATGTCTTATTTTCCGAGAAACATTCTCCTCCTAAATATATATCCGAGAAATTTTCTTCTCAAATATATTTATATACGAGAAGACACATTCTAAGACAAAATATAATTACTTAAAATTTAATTACATGTATTTCTCTTACATCCTGGATTTTTATAGTTTGATATAGTTTATAGTTTATGATGTAGTCTAGTACACATGACATAATTTAGTAATATATAATAAAAAAATTAATTACAAATATTATAATTATTTTTTCCACAGAGAGAAATCACAAAAAGCAGATGAGGCATATAAATCTTATATCGAATTATTATACAGATAGTCTTTTATTCAAAGCTAGTACAAAAATTAATCGACAGTGGTGATGTTCGAAAATGCCTATCGTGATCCTAAGGTAGGTCACGGTGGAAGAAGCAAGAAAAAAAAGTATAATCACTATCTGCTGCGAGGTACAATCTACTTTCGCTTTCATGAATAACGGTGATTTCACGTGGCCAGAGATCGTCCTATGTATGCGATCTTATGTATACAAGATGTTTCTGATGAAATTTCCTTTACGGATCTCTTCATTAATTTGCAATCATTTCTTTCCTAAAAATTTTACGATTGCTATATTTTTCATGATCGAGCATCGCGATATTAAGTAAATAGAAAGCTGTGCAATACGGACAAACAACCAAGCTTATATATTTTAATTTGATCTTAAATTTGTTTTGCGCGACTTATAATTTGCACGAGATAGCTAATATTGAACATTGCATATTTTATTAAGTATAATAAACTACATTAAATTTATAGAAAATATAATGCAATCAGAATTAATCAGATAAATAATCACACAAAACTAAATAAATAATAATACTTTGTCATATATCTCTGTAATATTTAAAATTCAGAAAACACGAGAAAAAAAATGTTTTATGCTTTTTCATTCATTTATAATTTTAATTTAAAATATCGATGTACACACATACAATATATTATAAATATATATGCGAAAAATAAAAAGTATACTATTGTATTATTAGTTAATTTTATAAGCCAAAAAATTAAGTTAAAAAATTTGGAAATAGATGTATATTTATACATTCGTGAAAAAAAAAATGCAGATCTATGTATTTGCGAAATTTGATTTAATAATTGTATCTATTAAATTTTTACGAAGATATGGAATTTTGAACCAGCTCTCAGCACAACACTTTTTGTCTTTCTCTCTTTCTCTGACTAAATTGCAAAACGATTTAATAACGAACGTCACGTGACATTCTGACGCAACTCACGAAATTCGCGTGACTTGATGCTTGGTCAACGGCCAATGAATATTTCGTTAAAAATACTACACAGTTTCTCACAACATAAGTCTTATTCATTCCTATTTCACGCCGCATTTAGTACTAAACACGTACATTTATGTTCTCATCCAGTTGTGACAAGCTCGTTAAAAAAAATCATTTAAATTTATGAGGAGAAACTTTCCTGGCCTTATTCCATTTCGCACAGAATTTATTTCGCTTGAGTTTCACAATTTTAGGTGACCAATATCGGCCGCATCTTTAAGATCTAAAGCGGGTAAAAATAGAATAGCATAAAAGAATAGCATAAAAGGCGACTGCGATTCGTTATCAACCTCTACACGGAAATCGAATTCCTCAAACAAGCAAGATATGAATAAACAAAAGCTGATTGTACTCACAGTATGCTACATTTATTCAAAACACCGTTATTCAAAACAGCAATTCATTTGGTTTGACGTGCGATAATGACATATAAAAAAAAGAATGTCTCTATACCAGTACGGAAATTTCCTAAAACAGCTATTAACGTTAAGTGTTATTACGAAAATTATTTCTGATGCATTTTAATATTTCTCTCGTTTCCGCGAGTTTGTGTGTGTGTGTGCGTCTCTGTAGAAACTTGTTTGTGATCTCATAGCTAATGAAAAATCGCAATATAGACAAGATATTACATGTTGGACAAACGCCAATTGTCGTCGGAGGCGGAAGACGCTGCCGCCGCCGGAGGCCAGGTCGCGATCGACTTCTCGTATCTCGCGCCCGTCAATATAACGTACACCCTAAAGTACACGGAAAAAAAAATTAGCTGCCGTAGCTAAAAACTGCGTGTGGTAACTAGATTTCAGTCGTAATATATGGACAGCGAACATCTTAGCTGTGACACCTATTTATTAGGTGCAACAGCAAACATCTTAACTGTGATACCTATTTATTAAGTGCAACAGCAAACCGTTTTGCTGCAGTTTAGAAATTTATTTTGCAAACCATGATTAGCTATGATAGCGAAAAGCTGGATATAAACATATGTATTCGGAAACTAATGTTTTTTTAAATTATAATCGAACAATAAATAATCTGACTGTAATATCTACTTACAACATAATATAATAAATAGATATCTCGTTTTAAAATAATTATTAATGATTTTCAATTACAGAGATAATTTGTGAGAATGCAGAAAAAAACTCGCTTATCTTACCGTAAAAAAAGATCACGTGCAATTTATCGTTAAGATTAGCTGGATGTGATAACTTTTTTGTCACTTCTTTTCACGAAAAATTTCTATAATATACCCACCGCGAAAAGTTGACGAACATGAGGTATGATAATTGCAATGTTTTCGCATTTATCGCATAAACAAGAATCGATTGATTGACCATTGACGTAAAAATAAATGATTAAGAAATACAAACATATTTCTACATTTCAGTAAATTGTCGATAATATTTACTTTAAATTCTGGTAATAATATCATGAATAAATGGTTACGAATTTACCTATTTAAGATTATTATAAAATATATTAAGTATATTATTTAACTCTTATTTTAAGTTTATATAAAAAATGAACATAATAAAAATATAGATTTGATAGATTTAATAAATGTTAAAATGTCTACTTGTATTTATGGTAGAAGAAATAGTTCATGCGGTTAAATGCGGACACGTGATGATTATATAATCACTATATCGATCAAAATCTAATATCAGAGCAAAAGATATTTCGCGAAAGTAAACTCTGGTATCAGTAGCACGTGATAAACGTAAATTAATATCTCAGCAAATAACCGTTTCTAAAACTTCGAGATAAATCTGACGAAACGTTCGTTCAAATTTCAAAGTTCCCGAAAGACATTTAAAATTCAAACGCCTCGTTTATTCATATCAATTGAACTTATATATCATGTTAATCATCTGCCTTTCAAAGGCAAAAGGCCTCTTATCGGAACGACGTCCTTACGACAGTTATCTTTTCACAGAATCGTTTCATCAGAATTGATATACGTTTATTTAAATGCATTCTATTCTTATTACAAGCTTAATTTAGATGTTACTTTCTCCGATTTTTTGCCTAGGTGACATTCCCTGTCAATGAGTAAATTTTGTAATCTTTTCGTGCTTATCGTATATCCTTTAATCACTATAATAAAATTTATGCAGATAACTTAAAATAATTGTCTTGTATGTTCCTTTGTCTCCTTTTTCAAGATAAAATCTTTATTCATATAGACACGATGAGTTTAATCTATAATGATAATATGAATTATAACGATATAACAATATATGTACGAATTTTCTATTGTTTCTCTAATCAATATTTTATTAATTACATATAATATAATTATTTCATTAATAAAATATTGACTAGAGAAATTATTATTGCCGTCAACTTATCGCGACAATATTCAAATAATGTGAATATGAATAAATTAGAACAGCACAGAAAATTTTTCATTTATCAGCGTAGTTAATTACTGATTTATTCTTTCGTTTGCAGTTACTTTTGATATCAAGAATTTCACATTAAGTGAACAATACCATCAGTACTCCAATATCGAAATATTTTAAGCATTACTTATGCAATTGAATATCTCAAGTGTTATATGGATATCCGATTCATTTCGAATTAACCAGAAAACAAGATAAAATTTAACCCCAAAAAAATTAAAATTAAAATAATGTAATCTCTCTCATATTGTTTTGCGCAGAATTATCTTAAGATGCATGTGCTGTCGTTTAAAAGCAGTTCTGTCATTCGCCAGATAAGCTAATAGACACTCAGATACTTGTCAGACGGACATTAAGTATCAGAACATTAACCCAGAATGATATCATCGCCGAACGAAAAATTTATAGACAGAAATACATTAGTTCTTCTAAGAAAGTTATCTAATCTAAATCTTATATATAATTATCATGACAAAGAGCCAATGAAAAGATTATCGTGATCCATGTGAGCTCAATAAAAACTGCCGTGACCATATCATAATTAAATAAGAATAACGAAATTCATCATCAATGAAAATATCACCCGTGATTGACGATAATACACGACGAATATACACGTTGAAATTCAATATTCCAGAAACAAAACGCTCTTCAATATCTCTCTTTTGGATTTGAAAATAAAGAGAAATATGTAGAACGCCTTTTTTTTTTCAACGTAAAAGAAATATTCGAACGTTCTGTTTCTGGTGATTCACGATGGTATATCGATATCAAATAACACAAAATCGAATGTTGCAATAGAAAACTTTCTAACTTTGCCATTTTATTTAACATACACGTTGAATAGTGAAACTTGATTCACGTATCATTATCATGTTTTTAATTTATAGAAACAAATTTATCTATTTATACGAAAGAAAAAAGTAGAAAAATATCAGCTCAGCCCGTAATCTTTATGTCTACGTTATTCTCTGCACCAGTTCTTTTTTTTTTTTTTTTTTTTTTTTTTTTTTTAACGAAGCGATAAATTATGTATGGTCGGTTCGTTTAGATTCTATAATCATTGACTTCTCGGCAAAAGTCCATCACGTATGTCGCAACGCTTCATAAATCAGAATATATAATGTTTTGATCTGTCTCTCTCTCTCTCTCTTTCAAACAAAAAGAAATTTCCTTGCCAAACATTTACTAGAGATAAATTCCATTTGTAAACTGACAAATATTAGCACAACATATAATCTTGAGAAAAAATTGTTTTCAATTTCTGCTTAAATTATATAAAATAAAGAGATATTAAATTGGAGTTACTTATATTGAGTAATATTTTAGTATATATGTGTGTGTGATTTAATATGCACTTCTTTTTTCGGTTCGATATCTTTGTCTCACATTTAATCTTTTATAGCTTTTAAGATAGCAATAACAAAACTAATAATAACATACATAGAATATTATATGTTAATTAATCTGGAGATAATTGTTAATTTATCAAAATTAATTTATTAGTGTAATTAATTTTTAAAAATCTAAAATAAGCTTTATAAGAATCTATTTATTTATCAAGCTATTTATGTCGAATAATATTAAATTATATGACTAACTGATTTTACAATAATAGCATTTGATAATTATTAATTTATCTTTAAATCTAATTAAATACTTATTAAAAATAATCTTTTTGCGAAGCATACCGCTGAAAATACTGCTTCTAAATTAATATTATAAAAAATGTAACTGAGATTAAAACTGCGATAAACAACAAAATTACATTTTACAATAGTTATTGTTAATTTCCGATATGATAAAAATGGCTCAAGATTTCAAAAATTAAATGTGATACGATACAAATAAATCAAATCTATTAGAATAAAATAAATAATTAATTAGTAAATTATTATATATAATATGAAATAATAATTTAAAAGGAGATTAAAAAAGAATTTAGGATATAATATGTACGACAAAAGCATTTTGTACTATTTGCCCAACATTTAACGGTTCAGTCTAATAAATGAAAGGATAGAATTAAAAAGAAACATGTTAAGCACGTTGCTTAACCTTCCGATAAAAGTACAATGATTTTCTACACATTCAGTACAATACTGATTTAGACAAACAATCGCCTGTTTAATTCCATTCGTAATCTATCTGCCTTTCTTTCTTTCTCTCTTCAGAGATAATACATGAGCGAAAGAGAGCGTACGAGCGTAGCTACACGTGGTGAACCTATGCATTAAATATTTCGAACATTTCTATACATTTACGTATAACGGTCATTTCATGCTTTCTTCTCGTGACATATTTCGAATAAAAAAAAAAAGAGCTAGACCAAGAAAGACCGTTGGAAAAAATTGTCGGACGCGAAAGACACACGATTCGTGTAAGCGAGAAGATCGAATACCTATACCACGTGCTATCTGTGACGCGAGCGAAGCGGAGAGGCGAGGTGAGACAGCCGCCATATTTGCGAGCGAGTTCACGTCGACGCGCGCGTGACTCACCTGCGAATCGGATCTTGATGAGGTCCAGCGGGTGCAGCATCAGGGTCGAGACGACGCCGCCTGAAATGCCCGCGACGAAGTACTCGTACTTGAAGTTGCTCAGGACGTTGAGCTGACGCGGCGTACCCGGCGTAGCGCTACCCTTGATCGTCGTCATGTTCCACGAAACGTTACTGCTGTTGCTATTGCTGATATTAACGCTGGCGCTGGCGCTATCGTGCCGCTCGCCGTTCACCTTCGTTACCGATTCGGTGATAATCGTATTCGCATCCTCGCCGATGTTAGCAATGCGCACCTGCACTCGGCGGCATATCTCCTGATCCACGGCAGGTACTGTCGTCGAACTGTCGTAACGTCACTCGTTCCAGAAATTATCCCCTCGTGTTCTCTCTTCCTTTTGCTCGCTCTAAGATCCACTCGCTCTAATGCTGCTTCTACTGATCACGATTACGCAATATCGACAAAGCCCGTTGCAACGCATACACCGTCTGCCGCCATACTGGATACTGGCCGGACCGGGCAGCTGGCGCTGGCAGCTGACAGCTGAGCGATGTTTCTAGATAGGGAGGGGGAGGAGAGCAAATCCCCACGCGTGCGCAGTGGCGCAAGTGTTAGCAGACGCCGTTCTCGTTGTCATGTGAGATCTGGCTCTCCGTAACTTAACTTTCCGTAATTTCTACCTTTCCCCTTTCTTCCCTCCCTAATGCTTACAATTAATTAAATACCTATTTGACATTTCGCCCTAATTAATTAATCAAACGTTCGAAGTATTTCATTGATTAATAATCTAATCTAATAATTCAAGTACTCCTAATAATCCATGGAGTATATGACGTTATTAATCGGTCTCAGAACGATCAAACTGACTTCATTCGAAAACGCTATACGTTACCGCCGGCATAGCTCTCAGGGTGGAGGAGAGCAAATCCCCACGCGTGCGCAGTGGCGCAAGTGTTAGCAGACGCCGTTCTCGTTGTCATGTGAGATCTGGCTCTCCGTAACTTAACTTTCCGTAATTTCTACCTTTCCCCTTTCTTCCCTCCCTAATGCTTACAATTAATTAAATACCTATTTGACATTTCGAGCACAGAAGGTGCGTAATATAATAAAAGTATAAGAAACAGAATAATGGATGGTTTAAATGATATTTCCGGTTTGAACACGTTTCTAGATATATTCGCGCGCATATCATGACTATTGATTAAAAAGTATATACAGACCTATCCTCTCCTTGGTTAATTTAATACTAGAACCCACATTTTTTGAAAGGGTGAAAATCTAAAGCTTCCTTTTCTCTATTCTCTCAATTATTGTTTGTTTTCACTTTTATTTTATTTAAAAATATTAATATAATAAATATAACATTACAGTATCTCTCTCAGTCTGATTCTTCCCCTTCGACCTGTCCGGCATGGGTGACCCTACCGGTAACTAGTAGCCTTTTCGAGTGAAATAAGTTTGAGAGCTATTAAAGATTTGCCATAAATATATATTCAAAAATGGATTTGATTAATATAAATATAATACATCAATAATATTAATAATATTTAGTACATTTCGTTTTTTTTTGACGCTATTTTGCCTTTAAAACACAAGATTCTTTGCCCTAATTAATTAATCAAACGTTCGAAGTATTTCATTGATTAATAATCTAATCTAATAATTCAAGTACTCCTAATAATCCATGGAGTATATGACGTTATTAATCGGTCTCAGAACGATCAAACTGACTTCATTCGAAAACGCTATACGTTACCGCCGGCATAGCTCTCAGGTTCATTAGAATGCTCAAACCTCCTCGAATGTGACACGATGAATAAATAAATTGACGGTAATTGTAATATGTTGCGACAATAAAAATATTTCGACATTTGGAATGCATTTCATAATTTGTAATTATAATATGTGGAATTATAATGTAAAAAATCGAACGCGGATATAGAATCTAATTCAATTTATTTTCAAATGCGCGATTTTATACGAATTCCGCGAACAAAAATAAAATCTAAATCCTGTTTCGTAAACAATTGCGAAACAAGATAAAATAAACTTTATAATTCTTAAGATAATCGCGTTATCGCCGCGTTTAATGGAGGATAACTGACCTAACGATTAGACCAGATCAGGATTTCAATATAAGAAATTGTAAAACTTTTATTATTTGATTATTATGATATAAATTTAATAAATAAAGATTCAAATAAATCGGAACTAAAAATGCTAAAAGTTATTTAGTTTGAATAACTTTTTTTCAAAATTACAAATTATTAGATACTGATAACATTCACATTTGAATTTAAAATAATATAACTTTAAAGAACATAAATTTTTTAATTTACAGAGAATAAAATGTTAATACAATTTATAAAATAAAATGTTACATAAAATGTTAAATATTAAAGATAATATAAATGTTATACATATAACAAAATGCATCTTAAATGTATTTTATACATTTAAGGTACATTTTTACATTTTTCATAATTAAATTTAATTTTGAACTTTTACCTATAATTTTTTTCATAATTGATTTGTTCATCTCTTTAATATTTTAATAGTTTTAGTATTCTTTTAATTTTCAATACATTTAATTCCTTAAAAATCTTAAGGGATTAAATGCTTAAGGAATGAAATGTCTATCTTAAGTTAAGATAGTTCTAATAGTCCTAACAATTTTATTATTGCTGGCTAAGCCAACGGGAATATGGGATCAAACCCTCGAAATTTCGAGGAGAGTGCCGTAATCGCGAGCCCTAATCGCGAGCCCTAATCGCGGTCCCTAATCACGCGCCCTAATCGCGGGCCCTACTCGCGTACCCTAATAGAATGAACCGTATGTTGCTTCCGTTGGGCCAGTTGGACCTACCTTTCGTTGATCCTGGCCATATTCATTCTGGCTACATTTAACCAGAAATGTACCTTTGACCTCTATCAGAGATCAATGAAGGAAAGAAATTCCTTCTATTGCCGGCTAATTATTAGCGCCGGTGCATGAGCGTAATTTTACGCTCGTTTACAGTCGTGAGACATTACGACCGTTTGTCATGCATCGTTTTATAACTTTACTTGAATTAATATAATGCCAAGTTATCAATCAAAATTAATTAATTGAAATTCTTATAATAATATAATATAAATTAAACAAAATTTATCAATGAAAAGAAATATTTTATATCTTTTTCAAATTTTTGCTTTAATTTATACTTCAAATTATACCTGTAATATGTTTTAATGCATACTAAAAAAATCTAGTAAAAGTTATCTGATTTAATCTATTCTAGCCCATCCATTTTGAAGCAACGGATCTATTTACAATCTACAATCTACATTTACATCTACAATATCTACGAATCCGTTACCTCAAAATAAAATAAAGTTCATCACTCACCGGCACTGATGCGCAACAGCGGAGTTGTTGGTCTTGAGGCTACGTTGTCTGTAACATACAAATATAAATCCCAAATTATAGCAATGTTCAAAATATAATGTTAGTATTTCTACAATGTGCTGTTAGACGGTACAAGAGAAGGGACCCATTAACAACGATTCCAAAACAGTCGACCGAACTCTAACCGATTCGGGCCGAACCGTTCGTCGGAGCAGAACGTGCCCTCAACAACCGATAATTCTTGAACCGAAGTTCAAGATTAACCGCGCGAACATGCATCTATACTATGCACGAACATACGTTGCTACGCGGCCGGCATTCATTCCTCAGCCGCGATACTGAGGCGTTTTAACGTTGCCCCTACATTAATATATTAAATTTATTAATACATAAATATTTATATAATATATAATATTAATATAGTATTAATATTAATTGATATTAATATAAAATTAATTATATTAATAGGTATTAATATATTAAAGATTGCAACGCTGAGAGACATCCCATTTAGCCGGCAACGAAGTATAATCCTCGATTACAATGAAAACAGGATAGAGGTTCAACGCGAAGACACGACGACGCGAAAACGCGAAAACGCGATAACGCGACGCATCATTATTCGTGCAGCACGATAACGGCAACGACGACGCACTAATATGCGTTCAACAAATGTGCGTGCCGTCCGCGACACGATGACGGCACCGACGACGCGACAAGATATACTTATCAAATTATTTCCCGATACTTGTCACGATCACGTTTAAGAAAAGAATTCGACGGAAATTTTGACGTCTCGCACTGCTACTTTACTGCGCGAATGTCGCCGTGCGAATGATAAGACATAAGAAAGGAATTTGATGTTGATAGAGCGTCTCGCCCAACTACAGTTTTTATTCAAGTGTCGCTGTACGAGTAATAACAAAATCATGATACGTAAACAATAGCGCGCCAATGTTTACGCCGCCAAGGCTAAAAAGTTTTTTAAATTCTTAAGGGACTTCCTCTAACTTTTTAGTCCCCCCCTCTAACTTCTTATAGACACCCCTCCAACTTTTTAATATATATACATATATACATAGTTAAAGAAGGGACTAAAAAGTTTGAGGGGGTTCCATAAGAACTTTAAAAATTGCCAAATTAACCGACACTCTAATATATATATATATCTAAACTTTCTATAATTTAATTTATACTTTTTATATATTTAATCCTTTTATAAATCTAAACTTTAACTAAATTTCAATATATAAATATATTAAAATTTGAAACTAAATTTCCATATATATATTAAAAAGTTAGAAGGGGAATTAAAAATTTTATGGTACCCTCTTTAGCTTTTTAGTCCCCCCTTATTAATAAAACTAAATTTGATAAAAGGATTATTAAACTTTAAAGGTTTAAAGTTTAATTCAATCTGTAATGTTATTATTTTAATTAAAATGATAATTTTAAACTAAATTTCAATATATATATTAAAAAATTAGAAGGGGAACCAAAAAGTTTATGGGACCCCCTCTAGCTTTTTAGTCCCCCCTAATTAATAAAACTGAATTTTATAAAAGGATTATTAAACTACCCCGTCATAAAATCACTTAGTCGAACCATAAAATATCGAACGAATATATTTGACTTTAAGTATTGTTAAAGAAATAAATACTGTTTATAAGGATCACGAGAAACAATAATTTTTAATTTTTATCTATATCACTTTGATTTCTAGTTGAAATTATAAATAAATATATTGCGAGAAATACACAATAAAAAGCCCTCGTCGCGATATAGTTATAACCGTTTATAGAAAGTTAATTAATTGTCAACTGTAATGATTATAGCAAATTATTTCCCGATACTTGTGTCGCGATCACGTTTTAAACAAGAATTTGACAATATACGGAACGTCTCGCATCACTATCTTACTACTCGAGTGTCGCCGCGCGAATGACAACACGCTGTGTGTAAGCACCTGTGATACATGACAACAATAACACACGCCGTAAAAGCCAAATACCATATGTTACAATTAATTTACTACCATCCCAAAACATACAACGTTATATACATACACATGTATGTATGTATGTATATATATATATATATATATATATATATATTATTTTATAATATTTAATATTGTAATATTTTATATATTATTTTATAAATTAATATTAAATATTCTACATTTTACATTTTAAATTAATGTTGATAAATAGGCTATTGTCGCAATTAAAATCTAACGCTTTTGCGAAGAACAAAATTTATTTTATTTTAATAAAAAAACTTTGTGTAATTAAATTTAGTATTCTTTCTCGCTTTACCAAATTTTTAATTTTTAAGCTATCAATTAAACCTATTAAGAACTCGAGTGGCCCAATCGTTATTGAGACAAGAAAAATCACAGTTCGCCTCGCTGTTGATGCGCGTGACTTGGCGCGAGGCACTCTTGATATAATAATCGGAATGAAACATGTAAAATTATTATCATTTTATGCAACAATAAAAGATGTTCTAACAAACCGCTTTGAACCGCTTTTTGTATCTGTAGTTATAATGTGCAATTAAACTGATATAGGACTCATGCCCGATTTATTTTTATACAAATTCCGCAATCAGAAATAAGATGTATGTCCTGTTTTGTGAAAAATTGGTGAAATAAAACAAAATAAAATTTATAAATATTAAAATACCATTAAAAATAATCGCGTTATTGCCTCGTTTAATGAAGAATAACTCAACCAGATCAACGTTCCTCTGCTTGGTGGCTGATTAATATCCAACAAAAAGAAGAATGATCCTAAAGTGGAGAGCGATCTCAACATGTCTTGCTTCAACGTACTGCTATAAAGATTCTGACCATTCTGATCTCTCTTTCATATTATCACCGAATGCTTACTCTTTCAATAAATCCTCGAAATTTAATTAAAAGATGAATCATTTGTTCCTCACTAAATTAGAACCCTGCTAGTGTTGACGGGGAAAGAAAATGATAATCAATTTTTTTTTTTTTTTTAACTGTCTTATCTGTCCTGTTCGCGATAGGCGACGGTTCGTACTCATATAATCACTAATGACCGATATGGAAGTAGATGTGCAAAACGCTTGATAAAGATTTTCTTATCCGTTGTCACGACCGAGTATTTCAGTATCGGTCTCTCTTGGCCGATAGACAGCGAATAATTGGTTTTCGCTCGCGAGAAAATACCGTCGACCAACAGCAGCGCGCTTCATAAGAAAATAAAAAAAACTTGTAGGTAAGTAAAAGACAAACTAATGAACAGTACTGACGAGAACATCGAGCGATTCCTCGATTTTAATCGCGCACGCGATAATCGATTATAAAACGTCGCGAGATATTATTGTATTAATTGATAACGACAACTATACTTATACTAATGTTTAAATTTTGTCACATATATTGATTAATTAATTACTGTTTTAAAACAGTTTGTTTCTTTTTTTGAGATTATAATGTCGGTTATAATACATATATAAAAATATAAAAACTGAAAAATTTGCATTTACATTTAAAGTAATATTGCGATTTACTTGTGATATTATTTTATTGTTGTTAATTAAAATAGTTTTTAAGTTTTATCGATTATTAATATTAATTGCTTTCTTTTAATTGGAAATGAAGTTTGCATGCATTGTGTGAAATCATCATCTTGCACATGCATGCAATAAAAATGTATCTTTTTTATATGTGAATATTCAAATAAGTGAATGCATGAATTTGTTTACAGCGCTTCCTGCATGGACAATTTCCTAGACGATAGTAGAAAACTGCTGCAACAAAATCAAGAAAATAGTAATTAGACTAAAGTGCATCTTAATAAACGACCAGGCACACACACATTGTGTGATATCTAAAAATATATTTAGTAATAGTGAGAATGATCTACGATTAGAGGTGCATACAAAATAAAGTGCATATTTTTTATCAGACAAGTGTAAAGTTGAAACAAGTGGAAAAAGTCCTTTCCTGTTGCTGAAATAGTGCTCGTCACTTTCAACGTCGTCAACACAACGATATGGTAAGACGTTATATGTATAAGATATATAAATTTCCAGCTTAAAAAATTATTCAATTTTTTGGACGAACATTTAATTTCGCATTATCTTATCTCTGAAACGTTATCATATTTTTTCAACAATATCATATTACAGGTAATATCCAAGCCTTTTTATTTGAGAAACTTATTTTTGTTTATGATTTATTAATAAAATCCGCAAGAGCAGATAAAATCTATTATATGTTGTACGGACTTTCGTTTTAAGATATGATAAATAGATAATAATAATTCCGGTATGATCAAAAGTTTATTCTTTGAATGAATAAGAATGCAAATACTAGAGATACCGAACAAGTTTATATCACTCAATGTGATAAAGACGAATTATCAATACATGTATCACAACCGCTCCTTCAGTCTACGAATCGGTATTTTCGGAAAGTGCATAGAACGCCAAAAGATTTTCCGCTGAATCTAATTTCTTGATATGATGCAAGAAATGTTACTTTAAAATAAAAACAATAAAATTGTTGTTAGCTGACTATAGAAGAAGCTATTAAAGCCACGTTTAACGATCGTGGCCTTTGTCCAAGGTGTAAATTTTTTTTCTACCAAGGACGGTAATATTAGCGCCTCCCATCTTAATCAACGTTTAGTCCCATGCCGAGCGTTCTTGCAACTCGTGCTTACGAAATCTTTTGCGACAGGAACGTAGAATGTGATGTGGAATTGTTTGAGTAAAGAAACTCCATCGTACGCAACACAAGAAAGTGCCAGATATTTGTGTTTGTCGGTGAGTCAATGAGAAAAAAAAAAAAGAAATCCTGTAATCAAAATTAGTTTCACGTCTCATTTTCATTATTATTAAATAAATAGATAATAACAATTAATTGTAATAAATTATTGATAAAAAAAGTAGATATTTACACTCTATCTCTGATTTCTCATATTATACACTTGACATAATACACACAAATATTTCTTATCTAATCTCGTATAATTTTACGGTACATGCTATTATTTTTTTCAATGAAAAGATCACGTTTTTGTCACGTTTTCACGCAATTAATCGATACTCATTGCCATTGCCATCATACTATCGTACTCGTTTTTATGAATGATCTTGCTGCCGGTTGCCGGTGCGGCCGAAGCAAGACGACCGCCATACTTCACATCTTCCAATGGAATGCCCAAGGTTAAAGCTATCCTATCCCTCACGTAATAATAAGCGCCTTGATTCCTGTGCTCCTCTTGCAGCCACATGATCTACGCATGCATATAATTATTTTTAGTTTCAATTAAATGGAAAAACTTGCAGATAAGATCCAAGGCGCTTATATCGCCTCCTGTATTGGCTCTCATTTGCCAGTTTTTCCACTTAATTGTTAGTATTCTGCGCCTATTGCTGTTATTATTATTTTTAATTTATCGCAACTTCAGAATTCAACTTCGTAAATCGGATTTTTTTGCCATTGGACACAAATAGATAAATCAATTTTAAAATTGCGTATTATTATATCAAAAGCTTCTCACTTTGGCTCGCGGAAATTTCGCTATTTCTGCCGCCAAAAAATGATACGGAAAGGGGCACAGCTGCTCGATTCTAATTATCGCTATTTTATCCTCCAGTTGTCTCTCCTGCCGCTCGATGATCAAATCATAGTATACTTTCCCGGTACAGAGCAATACTTTCTTCACGTTTCCGGGCTTCACGAAAGGATCCGGTAGAACATGCTTGAAAGTTGTACCTGGTCCCATCTCCTCGAAATTCGATATCGCCATTGGATGACGCAGCAATGATTTGGGGGTCATAAGAACCTAAACGGCATGGAAGACGTAATTTTGCACAAAATTTTTTGATAAAATTTAAAATGCTCCATAATATAATAACAAATAAACATAGAAATTGGAAATACAAAAATTTTTATATGAATCATTTTACAGGCAAATTTCGAAAAGTATGACTAAACTTTGATCTAATATCTTTTTACGATGAAATAAATTTGATATAAAATAATGGAATTATCAAAAAATGTGATAAGAATTGAAGGACTAACGTTATACTTCATGAAAAATGATGTAAATGACATAATTGCGTCGTGACTAGACTAATCGCGTTTAAAACGGTCTTCTGCTATCACGTTTAATTTACATCGGTAAAAAATGGAAGGTACAAATAAACCGTTTGGCGTATTAAATATTCAGTATAGTCGGTTACGCTCATTCAAATTGACATAAGTGAACGCATTCCGGAAAACGTCGATTTTTCACCGCAATGTGGCACCTCGCGAATCGCGCAAAACAATTTCATGTGCTGCTGGATGTACAGAATGTTTCAGCATCGATATTACAAGCCAATTTTTCCGAAAGTATTGAGATTAACAAAAAAATATTTCAAGCAAAAGTTGTAAAGTGTCGAAGGAAATATTCAGTAGCTGATTTTATTACGGCAGTTGTTCTTTCAAGAATTTATATCAATTCATTGATTTGTTCGATTACATTCGCAAGACAGATTTCTTAAACATGTGTTTATAAAAAATAAAAAGAAAACTTAAAGTTGTTGAATACTATCAACACAAAATTGACATAAATGTCAAAAAGAGGTAAGGAACTGTTAACTGTGTCTTGTTGATTTTATCTTTTTTTTTTATTCAAGCATATATTTTTCAAAACCTTGTAACTTTGGCTTAAACATATTTTTTTCTAAAATATAGCAATACTTATAGTATATTGTCGTATAAAACATTCGTGACACAAACACTCGATATATTATATAGACAAAGACTTAACAAACCAACGGTTTTCGAAACGGCATCAGTATCTGCCGACGCAGAAGATGAAACAGATTAGCGGGTGTCGAGGGATTACAGACGATCCAATTTATCTCAAAAAGCTGCCTGGTCATGATCTGCTCGACGGTCTCGCCGGCGGAAGTACCGGGCTCCGTTCCGGGCACGTGAGTACACTCGTCGTCGCACAACTGAAGGAATCTCTCCAATCTGGCGGACGAATGTTCCGGGCCTTGGGCCTCCATGCCATGCGGCAGCATCAACACTAATCCTACCTGCCTACCCCATTTGGCTTGTCCGGAACATAACAGGCAGTCTAGTATGACCTAAAGGTCAATTTAATCGTATTATGACCGATTGATATCAACTAGATTAACGCGATCGAAGATAAATCTTTAATTTTGCGAAGAATTTAAATTTTAAATTTAATTAATTCAAAATCTTTAATTAAAATATATTGTACTTGCGATCATAAATTAATTATATAACATTTTCATTAAAAAGAAAGGTGCAATAATAATAATGAATAACGTTATCTGATAGATATCGGCAAAATAAGCAAAATATAATCAAAATATACTTGAGATCACAGATTAATTATATAATATTTTCATTAAAACGTAAGAAACAATAATAATAACGAGGAACGTTACTTGACAGGTATTGGAGAAATCGCCGAACTGTGCTTCCCAGAGTGTAAGAGTGTTGTGATCGTACGCCGAATATCCCACCTCAAAACCTATTCTCATCACAATCATTCATAAAATATTAATTATCATAATATATCATGAATTATCTGTTACAATTAAATTCCAAAAGGTGAATTAATCTTAAATTTTAATATCTTCATATTTCTCCAATAGTTCTACAATATTTATTTTATTAATGAATAACGCAACTGTTCTACGCTTATTTCAAAAGCTTATCATTAAAGTTTTTCTGAACGATAGAATTTAACATTTCGTGTTGAATAATCACTCATACTCTAAGGTCGCTGATCTAACGTATGAAAAGTCAGACAAACACGTATCGTCAATAACATGTGAATAAGAGACGGGCAGATCGTAAAAGTAGATATTGTATTATCGCCACGTATATGACGTAATAACTAATGTTAATCAATTTTTCCTCGAACCTCACTCACCGCACACGCCGTATTCCGATAACGACGAATTCGAGACGGTGTATAAAGCTTGCCTGGGAAAAACATCGTGCAGAATATTCTTATAAATCTTATCTCTGCTCTGATCGTGAATGATATGTATACGTTGAGTGAAGGTGCCTCGTTCAACATCTTGCCCGGATAGTCTAACGTGATGACCTTCTTTCAATAAACTAAGAAAAGCCAGACATTCCCCCATCGCCCAGTCAATTTGTCGAGACGCCATGAGTTTCGATCGCCTATCCATTGCTCTCAGCACCTGCGCGCGTAAACTTTTACGTGTTCGTTATTTGGATTAAATCAAACATCAATTAAAGAGAATGAAATTCTAGGCTGAAATTCTACGAAATTCTATATAAATTCAAAAATTAATTTTTTCTTTCCATAAATATCTGCAAAGATTGATAGTAGATGGTTTTTGGGATAATTTAAATAAATATGAATAAGAATATACTTTTTTGAACTTCAAAGTCCATGATATTTGCACATTTTACAACTAACTTGAAGATGAGCCTCGATATCAGTCGGTGGAGTAGATATAGCATTGCATATCGTCTTGATGGTCGTTAAATCGATACCGGTTGGAGGTATCACACGTTTCGGACTCTGATTCGAGAAGAATTCGGTCCAGGGTAAATCGTGCCAATCTCTCATCTGCATCGAGCTAATGGTTTGCGCTTTTTTAAACTCTTCCTCGCAATGATTTATGTACTTTTCCTTTTCCTATCCACAGGGGGAAATTTATGAATTTAATTTCAAGATTACGGACAAAGATTAGATAAGCTAATTATTGCGAGATTTTTCCGAACTTCTTTTGCAAAAGCCTCCGTTATCACGCCTTCCTTAAGAAGCTTATCGCTGTATATAGAAAGAACACTGGGATGAGCCTTTATGCGTTTATACATGAGCGGTTGAGTTAACATCGGTTCGTCCATTTCATTGTGCCCTTGTCTTCGATAGCCAACAATGTCCAATACTACATCGTTATGAAAAGTGGCCCTGATATAAAATATAATTTTTTTGCCAATTCTTGGAATAATATTTAATCCTCTTTTTCAGAATAAATAATCCATTATAAACAATTTTGCCGCAGCAACTGTTACCAATAGATTACTTGTCGAATTTAGATAATTTTCTCTCAAACAATATTTTCTAAAAAATTCGTCATTTATTTTTGTAATATTTCAATTTTTAATACAAAACGTGTTAGACGTGTTGACTAGAGTTTCAAACAAATATCTATAGTAATAAATTAATAGTAATAATTTTATGTTCTGTAAATAAAAAATTCTTGAATTACAATATATAAATATATTAAAAAGTTAGAGGGAGAACTAAATAGTTTATGGAACCCCTTCTAGCTTTTTAGTCCCCCCTTATTAATAAAACTAAATTTTATAAAAGGATTATTATACTTTGAAAGTTTAAAGTTTAATTCAGTTTGAAATGTTATTATTTTAATTAAAATAAAAATTTTAAGCTAAATTTCAATATATATATTAAAAAGTTAGAAGGGGAACTAAAAATTTTATAGTACCCTCTTTATGTCTAAAGTTTTCAAATTTTGATATTTTAAATATCTCCTTCAACTTCGATAACGTTTTAGCAAAGATTAAATACTTCAAGTAATCTTTTATTAAGAAACGATACAATAAAAATTAAAAATTAAACGTTATCCATATCGCGATTTACCGATACTCGCTGGCCACCTTGCTGCAGTAAATCACTAAATCGGGATCATCAGCATGTATATGAAAAATAGGAGCGTTAACAACGTGAGCCACATCCGTACAGTGTGCACTAGATCGTGAATATCTTGGATCGGTTGTAAAACCAATCTAAAATCAAATTACATTCATGAATATTGTAAAATAAATTATCTCAAAATTCACCCCTGCTAATTCTTGTATAAATATTAAATGAAAAAATTGACGAATAAGAGCTAAGGAGCGATAATTAAAGTGTAATTTTTTTTTGTTATGTTACAAAATATTCCATTTTATTAACATTAAATACGAACGTTTCGGGCCATTTTCTGATCCATCTATAAATATAATAAAAGTTTGCACAATAATTATCGCGTCCCGGCTTTTATTTGCCAATACTTTCACCTAGTAATCGTTATTACTTCAAACTTCTCTATGTCTGTTATTATTTAATTATTTAAAGTTGTTAATTTAATAGTTTATTAATTATTAAATAAATGTTTAACTATAATTTTATAATATTAATTAGGAATATTAATGTAAATTTCTAAATAATTTAACATTAATATGCAAAATGAAATAGAGATAATACAAATATAAATAGATATATATATCGATATTATTATAATTATATATTTAAAAACCTACTTTTTACCAACATTTTAATTTTGATTTTAGCTTAACTTAGCATTTTATTTTCCTCATTAAAAAAGAATACGGAAAAAAATAATTAAATTTGAGTAAAATTTAATTAACTTAAGTAAGATTAGAACTTTTTGATTAATATTTATATAGAATTATCTCTACAAAAATTGTCATTAATAATCCCTACTTGATTGTTAATTACGATATGCATGACACCACCCGTCGTATACTCTGGCAGATTGGTGAGATGCATTGTTTCGTAAACGACACCTTGACCGGCAAAAGCGGCATCACCATGAACTAGAATAGCCAAGGATCTCTTGCCGTCTAAAAAAAACCAGTTTATTTGAGGATACTTGCAATCGTTTATTAGAAAATTATGCATTCGCGTCGATACATACCTTTAAAATCACCTTTCTCGACTTGCTCGGCGCGCACACGACCGACTATGACCGGATCGATCGCTTCCAAATGCGAGGAATTTGCCATTATAGAAAGAAACATTGTTTTCTTAGTTCTATAAATCGGCATAAATAAATAACGATATAATAAACGTCGCTAACTTTACTTTAAAACTTAAAAAATAAACAAAAGGAACAAAGATTTTAAAAATGACGCTCGACATATCCATATTAAAATACTGTAAATCAATTTAACATAATGCGGCATATAATTCCTTTCACCTCTCTAACAATTTTTCCGAATGCGTCCCGAGATGATATTTAACGTCACCGGAACCGAATCCCTCCAATGCAATCGGATTGAACTGAGTAAACAGCTGACTCATCGGTTTCGAGCATACGTTTGCCAAAGTATTTAGACGACCCCGATGGGCCATTCCAATGACTACAGTTTCCACTCCTAACAAATATATTATTCATGAAAGCTCAAGAATAAGTAATAAGCTTGAGATTCATCTATCGGTTAAGGTTTAACAATTTGTTTATCACCATTTAACGCCGATGTTTCCATACATTCCGCCATGGCCGGTATAAACGCTTCGCAACCTTCTAGCCCGAATCTCTTCTCCGTTCCGTATTTTCTCGCTAGAAAATTCTCGAAACTCACGGCTCTCATGATATTCATCCAGATCCACTTTCGGTGCTCCGCAGGCAATTCCCAGGCGCCTGGTATTTCAAACTTTTCCCTCAACCAATCTAACTGATAAAACGCATCTTCAATATATTTCATAGCTCTATGCAAAATATTCTTTCTATGATCTCAGAACTCAATTATCAGCTATTGTATGTATATTTTATCAAAAATTATTTTTACTGATATTTAATTACAAAAATGAAAAATTTCTCGATTAAGTGATAATTAGAATCTTTGCATTCTAGTAATGCAATCTAAACAATTTCTTTTCTAATTTAAGTTTCTCTTTCCTTTCTCAATTTTCACGTGATATATATTTCCGGCTCGTATCTTCGTATTAATTGCAAAGCTATAATTTGATTTTCGATTAGATACTTTATCTAATCGTAAGTATACAGGATATTACAATAATAGAATGAATTCACAATCTAATCTGTTACACAGTATTTATACTGTCGCGAGATATCGCGCGTTCAAGTACAAAATGCACACTTGCGTAAGAACACTTTCTGCGATAATGAAATTCTAATTAAACGCGATTCGCGCATACCACATTGAGATCGTGAATGTACGTGTATTCCAGGCCCAAATGACCACAGTAGATTTTATTGAGTCTCATTAGTATCTCTCGCAATGTTAATTGTCCCTTGTCGCCACCGATAACAGTCAAGGAACCGAGAGGGAATTCCTTATTCATATCCGCTTCCGTCATGCCCTTAAGATGCTCTCGCACCACAATTGCCGGTGGCAAATTCGCGGTGCCCTGCAGCTTTGCCGACTCCGGATTCTGTATGCCCAACGGATCTGTATCGGCTATTAGGTGGCCACGTGTCTTGAGCGAATAAAATAAGTCTCAATATATGTACAAAAAAGTTATACAGCGCATGTTTGCGAAATTTATTTTGAGAAATGTACCTGATAAGCGCGGATCGTGGCATTGATATGGAGTGCATCGATTATATATTGATTCCCCTGACCATCTGATTTTCCCCGAACGGAGGATTTTTTTGGAAACGACGGTTCTATTATATAAGCATACGAAAAAACGTATGTATGATTAACTAGACAGACAGATTAGTTAGTATATCTAGACAATTCACAAAATACATTTATTTAGCTACTATATTGCATATATGTCATATGTATACTACTTATATAAAATAATAAAATATAAATATAAAGTAATAAATGTATTACAAAGTACACAATTATATATATATTAAACTTGAATCCATTTTTGTAAATTATATTAAATTAACTTTATAACATTTTTAATTTTTTTATGCAAACTTTTATTATTATAAATTAAACGTAAAAGTTATTACACATTAATTGAACAATATTACACTTGTGTGTAATATTGATTATTTATTCTAACCGCAATTGTCCGAAAACGATCTCATCATGTGGATCTCAAATAGAATTCATCAAACCAGACTCACTGTTCGATTGTCCTCCTTCCAACTTCGATGTTATTAATTTAGGGGATGAACTGACGTGAATCGAATTGGATTTAGCACGAGAATCTTTCGAGCTTTTGGTGTGGATCAATTTGAAATATAAGTCCCACGAGGAACTCACAGATTTCTGGTCCTCGAGCCATGCCTTGTACATGTAATCCAAGTACTGGCTGTTGCTCATGTTAAGCATGTTATCCTTCTTATCGTCATTATCGCGTTTGCAGCATACTAGATCCTTATGAAATTGCTTGATTATGGATTTAGGAAATTTATTCTTGTGTTGAGGATTTTTCCAGTTTGAGTGCAGATAACGTACGAATTGCTGATATAAATATGACGCGACGGATTGTGTACTTTGATAAAGTTGTAGTTTCGCGTACATTGCCCCCCATTTGTTGCTGCAGCACAAACGAGCGCCAGAGATGTGGTACCACGCGTGAAAAATAGAAAGTTAAACAATTTTGGATATTTGATTTTGCAAACAAGTCAAACAAACAGACAATTTATTTATACATATATACAGTATTGCTTTACGTCATTGTGACTTTTGATCGCGATTAATTTTCGACTTCTAAGACCCGCATTCACAGTTGTAATTAGAATTCGCGATTAATCTTTGTTTTCGGATGAGAATTGGACTTGAAAACAAGTTCACGTCTCTTACCGTAGTCTTGCAATCGTTAGAAATTGCAATCAAAGCGCAATTTATGTATAAATTTCTTAAATTTATTTATTTGAGGTAATATTTCTTTTTTTTTTGTTTACATATAGGGTGCTACATCTTCAGTGTTTAGCGATCACAGAATCGTGAATATTAATCCTACAAATGATCCATTAGAAACGCATTTTACCAACAATCGCATCAAATCGCATAAGGTATATCTCGCGTGTGCTTTTTTCTATTTTAAAATAATATTGAAAAATATATTTCAATTTTACATAAAAAGTATTATAGTAGTTTAACGTTGTATTCCGCTGACGTTTTAAAATAATTATCATAATTTTTAAAACTTTTGCACACATCTAAAAATATTTTAGCGATATATTAACTATATTATCTCCGTAATCTACAGTACACAATATGGAACTTCATTCCAAAGAATTTCTTCGAGCAGTTCCGGCGAATAGCGAATTTTTATTTCCTGCTAACGACAATAATCGCGCTTTCGATAGACACACCTATTTTGCCTTTAACCAGCGCCCTACCTTTATCATTTGTTGTTGTGGTGACCGCATGTAAACAAGGATACGAAGATTACTTACGCTACAAGACGGATCAACGAGATAATCGGAGATCAGTTAATGTCATCCGCAACAAATGTACACAGGTTCGTTGCCGCGTTATTTATGATAAATATAATATCGTAATTTAAACATTTTATTAATTTTAACATAATAAAAAAATTGTTTAATGCTATTTTCTAAAATTTATGATTTTCGAATTAAAATTATAAAATGTGGAAAATATTTCTAACGATTGAAATTCTCATGTTAAGTCTGCTCTTATGCTTTATGCGTAAATAATATATGATATTTATAGAATATATATTGCGAGCAAATAGTGGTAGGTGATCTCATAAAGATATCTCGGGATGAGGACGTGCCATGTGATATCGTACTTCTTTATAGCGAGACTCCCGGATGTTGTTATGTCACGACATCTAATCTCGACGGAGAAACAAATCTAAAGGTAATTTACATATTTAAAGGTTAGATATGACATGTATTTTTCTCTGATAAAACTTATAATACAACCAAAAATCTTTTTAATATTTAAATTAACGTATCTATTATAAGATTGTTATAAGATTATAATTTTTTTAGACGTTGAATGTTCCGAAAGTGGTCTCAAAAATACCGCTTTCGCATATAGTGGCTATGAAAGCAACAATTACATGTCAACATCCTTTGGCAAATCTTTATACTTTCCACGGCAAGCTTGAGATTAACAGTGGCAGCGAAATAACGAACGGGCATTTGACGATAGATAATCTCTTGTTGCGTGGTTCGAGGCTTAAAGACACCGAATATGTGGTTGGTTGTGCGGTTTATACCGGACAGGATACAAAATTGTCACTCAATTCAAAGATAGTCAGTAATAAATTCTCAACCGCCGAGAAGTAATTATTTAAGCTTTACTTATATATAAAAATAAACAACTGATAATACTATTTGCTTCCGCTAAATCTGCTTGCATTTTTGCTATCACAATCGCTATATTTTCAAGAGAAACTTAAATTATATATTTAAGAAATATCATTTTTTATTTGGAATAGAGATTGCTGTTTAGATTTATACTTATCCAAATATTATATTATTCGCAGATCAATCAATAAATATCTTATTGTATATGTCGTGATACTGTTGATTGAAGTATTAGTATCTACTATGCTGAAGATATACGTTGAATCCTATGAAAAATGGGATAGTTATCTCGGTCCATCACCTGAAATCAATTTTTCTACGCTGATTGCGGATATTCTGAGCTTTCTTATCTTATTTAATTACATCGTACCGATATCATTATATGTCACTGTCGGTGAGACATTTCTATTTGACATTTCTATCTAAACCTTCTTTCTTATCATAAAAGGGTTTCTATTTTAAAATAAAATTATTTAAATTTTCTCTCTTATCTCTCTCTCCTTCCTTTGAAATTCTGAATATGCAAGAAAATATATATTTATAAAATGCATTAGAATTAAAAATCCACAAGAATATTATCGATGAAGATTTGCGTGTATTTCTTCAGAATTACAAAAGTTCTTTGGCTCCTTATTTTTCGCCTGGGATTTGGACATGTACGATGCGGCCAACGATCAGCCAGCACTCGCCAACACGTCAGACTTGAACGAAGAGCTTGGCCAGGTTGAATATTTATTTACTGACAAGACCGGCACGCTCACTGAAAATTTGATGATATTCAGACGCTGCTCGATTGACGGCAACATATACATGGAAAAAGATTGCGACGGGAATCTTTATCTATTGCCATCAAGCGGGAACGAAAATGAAGCTGTCAAACTAACGTCATGGGAGGTAAATCCATGCAAACGCAAAAAAAAGAAAATATAATATTCGTTATTATTATGTATAAAAAAATAATAATTTCAATGTTATTACTATAATACGCGATTATAGGAAAACATCTGGCACTTTATGATAAGTATATCGCTATGTCACATGGTCCAAATCGCGCCGCCGAGCCTACGTCCCGATATCGTAGCCAAACGCACTTCATTCCGCGAAAGCTTCAGATTAAAAAAAATCACGAGGGTCAACAGTTCGTTGATGATGCATCCGGATTTGCCGCAATATCAGGTAAAAATAACTCGCGTACGCAAATATCAAATTTGCGATGTTTAACCAATGCTAATGTTTATCTACGAAGAAGCGTAAACACATGTGCGCGATTAACTCTGTATAAAGATATGTACAAATACATGTAACATATGGCAGGCAGCATCGGCAGATGAGAAGGCATTAGTAGAGGCAAGTGCCAGATGCGGTGTTATTTTTCAGAAGGATACTAACGAGGAAATGTATATCCAAATCAACAAAAACGTGATGGTTTTTCAAAAACTGGAGATACTAGAATTCACTTCTGGTATGCATTTGCAAAATCAGATTAAATCAGTATTAAACACAATAATTAATTAAATAACGATTAAATATTACATATAATAAAATAATCATTAAAATAATTATGTCACTCGAATAATTATCCAAAAATTATTCATGAATTACATGTTATCATGAATCATAAACAAGAATTAAATTATTTGTATCATTATATTTTAAGACTAGAGGGATAAATATTGTTAATATTATGTATCTTGAACAGAACGAAAGAGAATGTCGATAATAGTGAAAGATTCGGCAAATGATATTTGGCTGTATTGTAAGGGTGCGGATTCGTCTGTTCTCCCATTGATCGTGCAAGGGAAGGTTCAAGAAGCTTCCCTTCATGTTGACGATTTCTCCATGGTATGTTGTCTCTGCTGTAATTGCGAATTAATAATTGCATTAATTGGCACTGTACTGTTTCATGTGAATGATACACATGAAATAGTACGATACACTATGAAATCAATCCAATTTAGAAAGCAAAATTAATTTATCTGATTGCAAACAAATGCTTAAAATTTCTTTTCTTTGGTTTTAATATTATATTATAGAATATAATATATATATTTATTTTTGTTTTTCCAAATTGAACAAATTTTATACTGTATATTCCATTATATTATAGAATTTATCTCTCTATTAAAATATTTCTTAATTCTTTTTCAGAGAGGTTTGCGAACATTGGTTATAGCGTATAAAAAGATGGATCAATCTGAATACAATAGGCTGTCGGAAAACATCGAGCAAGCGAGACAAATGATCGGAACAGAGAGAGAAACGCACATGACACGTGCGTATAATCTTATGGAGAGCGAACTTACCTTGCTCGGAGTAACTGCAGTGGAAGATCGTCTACAAGACGATGTGCAAGAAACCTTGGAATGCTTACGAGTCGCTGGAATCAAAGTTAGTTTATTATACCGTCTTTACACAAATCATTAACCCATTACTATTTATCTATCAAGTCACATATCGGTTTTGTCACAATTAGGATCGAATTTTAAAATTATATTATTCTTTTCTAAGTTGTATATCCTCAAAAGTATAATTTTATATATATTCTATTTATTTTGTTTAATTTTTATTTTTTACAAAAAATGCATTAAATATGTGTATGTTATTCTTAAATTTCTAAAAAGATTTTGAAAAATAATATAATTAACAGAAAAAATAATAAACTAAATTAACTTCGAAAAGAATAATATTCAACTTTGTGAATCTCTTGTGTTTAGATATGGGTACTCACCGGAGATAAAGCAGAAACTGCGGAGAATATCGCTTTTCTCTGTGGCCACTTTAAAAAGGGTACCGAAGTTTTAAGACTGATGGAAAAGACTTCAGGACAATCCTGTTTCCTGATGCTTACTACTTTCGAGTAAGTGTGCAGCTTATACGCCCGAAATTTTATTTTCTCTTTATATCAGTTGTCTTATCTACTTAACTACTCTTATTATTTCTTACGCGGTAACTGCTCACACATACACACACATACAATACAGATTCTGCCAAAAAATCTACACAAATAATTTTTCATAAAACTAAAATTAGTAAAAATGTTGTTAATTAAAACAGTGGCAAGATTCATAAAAAATCAGTGAATATTTCATTGATTTTCAGTGAAAATACTCACACTTTACCCCTTCATTATATATATATATATATATATATTTCTCTAATTATGGCAGTAAGAGAAATTTCACTGAAAAATCGATTATTACCACTGATTCTTCTTACTTTTAGTGAGACGTCAGTGTTTTCAGTTTATACTTATAACTAAAACCGCTGCTTATCAATGATAATATATTGAAATTCCATTTAAGAAAGTAAAATATATTAATCCTACATACAATATTGTTCCTATTTTACAGCCGCAAAGTGAAATTAGAACCGCACAAGCAATACGGTTTTATAATAGATGGTACGAGCTTGGCGGCGACCTTACGAAATTGTCCTGGATTATTGAAATCCGTCGGAATGGCCTGTGAAGCGGTTGTCTGTTGCAGATTGACACCGTTGCAAAAGAGCGAAGTACGATTACTCGATATAAATACTTGATATATTATAAAAAAAATATCTTAAAAATATTAAATCTGATACAGATTGTGCATCTGATAAAAACTGCACAGAGTCGGCCGCTCACCGCGGCCATCGGCGACGGCGGTAACGATGTCTCGATGATACAGGAAGCTCATGTGGGAATCGGAATATTGGGAAAGGAAGGTCGCCAGGCGTCGATATCCGCCGACTTTGCCTTCACAAAGTTTATGTATTTGAAAAAAGCGTTGTTAGTCCACGGCCATTGGTATTATCTGCGCATCAGCATCTTGATGCAGTATTTCTTTTACAAAAATGTAGTATTTATAACGCCGCAGGTGCTATTCGGCATTCACAATGGTTTCTCCACGCAGGTGAGAGGATAATAATGTCCTGTGTTTTCGTTCTATCGAAAAAATCCTTGGTGTCATATTTACATTACGTAAATAAATTATCTTTCATTTCGCATATAACATGTCATTTTTATTTTTGTACTTAATAGCCCTCTAAAATATATCGACAACTTTCTTTACGACTGAATTAATAAACAAAATTATTACATATTTAATTCTTGTTATAATTTTTTTATAAATTTTAATTATGTAATAATTTAAAAACCATATACCGTATAATATAAACTAACAACATATATTATTCTGTATATTTTTATAGGAACTATATGACGGTGTATTTCTAATGTGTTTTAACTTGATATTCACGTCATTACCAATATTACTGTACGGATTATTGGAACAGGATCACAGTGCGAAAAAGCTTATGCGACATCCGTATTTGTATAAACTTAATAAAAAAAATTACTTAATGTCGAGAAAACAGTTCATGGTATGGCTACTTTTAGGTCCGTATATGCAGAGAGTTTAATGATTCTCTTTCTTTCAGCTATATATTATATAAAAATTATTTGTTATATGCCATGACATGTTACTTTTTTATGAAATTAGCCCAACACATCGATAGACAGATACTGACTTTCTTATTATTTTTTAGGATTATGGCATACAGGAATAACATATTTTATAATATATTGTATCTCATACATCAATCCGACGTATTTATACGATAATACGCCGGTTGGACACTGGACTTATAGTACATGCATTTTTCATATAGTCACTTTGCTAGCAAACTTACAGGTACATACATAATAGTGACGTTATATAATATGTAGATTAAGCTCGTTGATTTGAATAATCTAATTCAGATTAAAAAAACGGACAATTGAGTTTTATATGCTTCATCACGTATAAGAAAAATTTTATTATTTTAACAGTTGAAACTTTTTAATCGGACTCTTACCTTTTGAATCAACAATCTAGTATAGATGTCACAATAAATTATACAATCACGTATCATTGATAATAATAATATTATTTCAGATTTTGTTGCGTAGCTCATATTGGACATTTCCATTAGTTCTAAGCATAATACTTTCCGAATTAGTATTCTTCCTAAGCGCATTTTGCTATTCAATTATAAATGTGTAAGTATAAATTCATGTTATCGGAAAAATTATGATGATTAATAATTAGATCATATTTAAAAAGAAAAATAATTTCTATCTGGAAATAGTTACTTAAAATCGTTTTTTCAGGAAATACGATGGCGATATCTTTGGAGTCTTTCAAAAATTATTAATGTCACCGTCATTCTGGTTAATTACCATAATCGTAGTCGTTGTATGCTTAACACCTGATTATTTATTACTCACATATGACAGTTACAGACCAATGAAAATTCTACGAAGAAACGAGGAACCCCCACAACCTCTCAGTTGTAGCGACGACTACAGCGAACGCAGTTCTTCGCAAACGGTAATAATAATAAAAATATTTAATAAAATTAGACTCTCTCTCTCTCTCTCTCATTTCTTTTTTTAAATTTTTGTTCACACACCAAGATTATAAACTATGCCTCTTGTTTTATTTGATCTGCATTTATCTAATTTCTTAAATTCAATATTTTCCAATTATTTTTAAAGAGAATTAGTTAATTAAATTGAGAAATGTTTACAACGTCATTAAAGAAAGTAAATTATTACCAGGGACACCGCATGTTTCCATGGAGAGGTAGTCTCTCGTTTCAAAAAACGGAATAATATGCTGGAAAAACTGTTGCTTCGATCGGTTCAATATTATTTATGCAAACAAAAAGAAGTCCAATGATTATTTTAGCACCTTATTTCCTTTCATATCAGCGATATAATTTAAGTTGCTAATACGATTGATTACATCATCAAATGAACTTAGTCGTTATATATATATATGTATACATTGACGAAATCAGACAAAACTTCGACATAAATTACAAGATTAATTGTATTGCTATCAATGGATATCGCTATCATTTTTTTCATTTCTATAATTTTTAAACAAGCCTGAAAATTTATATATATAGACATTTTCTATATTTATTAATAATATAAAAATAAGACTAATATATAATATATTAATAACAAAGTAGGAAAAAACACTTTTTTCCAAGTATTAAATTAAACATTATCCTCGCAAATTATTACGACCACCGCAAAATACTAGTCGTTATAATTAACTTTTGTATACAAAGATAGATAACGATATATATATGTATTATAAAGGCACATGTACAATATATATATATAAGACATAGATAAATAATGATTACAAGAAAATAGATAAATAATCATTATTTGTAGAAAATTCACAAACAAGTATATTTAAAATGTATAACAGTTTGACTAAATCAGCGAATTCTTAACAAACTCTTTGTCAAAAACAAGTATCTATAATTAAATTATTTTATAAGTAATCAAGCTTGTGTACGGCATCTTTATCATAATATAATGTTATGTGTTAAATATCAATATATTATTCTTGTAATGATTACGATATAAGAAATGTATGCGATAAGCAAACAACGAAACTGTGATTTCTTCGAATCCCGATAAACTGCATATTTTGTCGCGTGATATATATATGTTTCTGAATATATAATTTCATGTATATATGAATTGTATATACGATTTATAAGAAATACGTGTGCCTTATGATCAATGTATGTATGTACATATGCACAATTGCGTAATATTTAATGCACTTAAGAAATAATATGCGAATTTTTTACTTACTATGTCTGGATTTATTTAAAAAGTATTAATGATGTAAATAAATATATATTAAATAAATGTATTGCAGTTCTTACTTTCAGTGAACCTCTTAATAATTTTCTTTGACTAAATAATTAATTAGTAATGTATATTACGTTTGTTATTATTCTTTCTCTCACAAATAAACAATAATTGATAGGTTTATTAGCATTTGTCACAATAATTATACAAAAAAATAAAACATTTCGATAACCAATTTCTTTATTTATGTAGTTTCGTTTCAAATATAATCGTTTTATATATGTTCATTTTATATATGTCTAAACCCTAGAAAGTTTTCTATAATTTCTTAAAACATCTCTCTTTATCTAAAAAGTATTAATAATATAAACAATTAAATATATTTTTAATTAATTAACTTAATTAATCAAATACGTAATTAAACATACTACAATTCTTACTTCCAGTTGAAATGATAATATTTCCCCCCTTTAGCTAAATAACTATATTAAAT